TTAGAAGATAAAAGTAAAATATAAAACAAATAAGCTAGAATATAAAGAGAAACTAGCTAGAAAAGAATAAAGCTCTAATATAAAAGCTAACTATTAGCCTAGAAGTATTCGAAATAGAACTAGCGTATCCCGAAAGGGACTAGCGCTTTCTATAGAATATACTAGTACTAGATAAGAAAGCTAGAAGTATTTATATTATAATAGATTATATATAAAAAGAAAAGAAGAAAACTCTTATAATAAAACTATTTGAATATTTATAAAGTACCCCTATTTACATAAGTAGAGTTTAGTATATATAAAACTAATTTACTATAAAGTTCGAAATTAACCTCTTATATTATTTAAATATTTAAAATTTTAACCTTTATAAGTATTTAATTATAATATTTATTCTTTAATTTAGTATTAACTAACTAATTATTATATTTATTTTTATCTAGAGAAATAGTTTTTTAGACCTTTAAGTAAGAAAAAACGTATATATTTTAGTCGCTTTATATAAAAGGAAAATATCTAATTAGTCGAGAACCCTTTATATAACTATGTAAGTTATATATATTCGCTAGGTTATATATATACGTACGACTTTTTAAGCTTATATAACCTACTTTATACTAACTTAGCGATTTAAGCCTTATAATTATTTTAACGTTTAAGTTATATAAAGTCTTATAATTAACCCTTAAACGTAAATTAAGAAGTAATTAGTATTTAGTTTATAAATATTATAATTGAGATTATTATATAACGTATAATTAGTATTTATTATATATACTATAAATCGCTTTTTCTATATATAAATTATTCTAATAAACGAATAAAGGTAGATTATTGTGAGAGGCCAGACCTCGAATAGCTCAAAGGTGTGGTTTCGAATATTCAATTAAGAAGTGCGTGAAGACTACATATATGCGAGCTCTTCCTCTATATATAGAGAGGAAGAGCTTCCTGAATATTCCAAGAAACTTGCAAGAAACTTGAATGACGAATACATGATGTCAGAAGAACAAAACAAGAAAGTGTGGAAAAGTAGAAACCTGTTTGGTAGTGGGGTAATGGCCAGTGCTAAGCAGGGACTTTGGTCAGTGCTTAACGAGGACTTTGGTCAGTGCTTAGCGAGGGCATGGCCCGAGCCTCCATCATGGATTCCAACCCTCACAATTATATAGGTTAAAATATAGTAAAATAATAAACTAAAAAGTCTAGAACTTAAAATAAAGCTAGCTAATATAAGTATATATAATATTACCTAGGCTAGCACTAAGAATACGTTCTTATATAAAGAGTAAATACTAGATATATATAATATAAATACTTTAAAATAGTTAAAAAAAGAACTTTGAAATAGTTAGAAAAAATATATAAAGTTATAGAAGTAACTATTAGAATCTATAAATAAATTATTAGAATTAACTTTATTAAGAACTTACTTCGATTACTTATAAGAAATAATATATTTAGGGTTAGGGTTAAAAGTAACGAGATAAGAGTATATATTCTACGAAATACTCTTATATAAGCGTTATTTTAATAGCTATTATAGTTATTCTAGTAATATTATTATAACTAGATATTAAGAAAGAGATTCTAATTAGTATAGTATACTCTTATTTTTAAACGTTTCTTATAATAGCTTTAAATTTATCTTTTTAATATAAATAAACTTAAAAATAAGCTTATTTTATAGAGATTAAGTAGTAAGGTAGGTACTATAAGCTTAAAAATTAGTACGTATATACACTACCTTAAGAGGATAGAAATACGAAAAGAGTAATCTTATTTACTAGGCTATATTAAGCCTATAACGCTTCTAAACTTATATGAAATTAAATAGGATGAATTAGATTAATTCTCTATAATTCTACCTTTTCGGATTATTTATATAATTATTATAGCGGGAGTTATATAATTTAGAAGTTATTACTTTCTAATTACTAACTTTAGAGTATAACTATACCTTTATAGCTACTTGCTACCTAGGTACCTACTTAGGAATACTAAAACTATAGGAACTACTCTCACGTTTATATTTAGCTAGAATTATATAGAAAATATATGTAAAGTAAGTATAAATATTCTAAGTATTTAGGTTATTTTCTAGTATTCTTATAATATTATTATAATATCTATAGTTAGTAGAATATAAGCTAGTATACCGAGAGTATTACTACTTATATAACGTATAATAATTATAGTAAGAATTATATAATTTAGAAGTTATTACTTTCTAATTACTACCTTTAAGGTATAACTTTATATCTTATATTTACTAAGTACCTAGGTACCTACGTAGAAATACTAAAACTATAATAATTACTCTTATATTTATATCTAGCTAGACTTATATTTAAAATATATATAAGTTAGATTAAATATAATTATTCTAAGTATTTAGACTATATTCTAGTATTCTTACTATACTTTTATAATACTTAGATAGGTTTTATATAAGGGCGTAGGTTCTTATATAGGCTACTTTTATACTAAAACTTATAGAAAATATATTAAATTAATTCTATTTAACTACTATTAAAAATTACTAATATCTAGAAGAATTAATAATTCCAGTATTATATATAAATATATTAACTCAAAGTATTATATAAACTTAACTTATTAATATTATTAGATAGTGAAGTTAACTAAGCGTAGAGTATATATATATAAATAAGCGAAATTCGCGTATAAATTTTAATTGCCTAATTTAGTCTAATACTATAAGGCTAATTCTTATTATTATTATTATATATTTAATAGAAAGCTTTATAAGATTCGAATCTATATAGGTTCCTAGTTATAAATAAATCTATTTAGATAGGAAATAATTATATATTATAGAAAAGTAGAGAAAATAACTTTTTTTAGTAGGGTTTATAACCTACTATAGACTTATGCTCTTATGTAAAACCTACCCGAGTATTTATAACTAGTAGAATATAGGCTAGTATGCTATAAACTAAGAGTATCCGAGCTTTATATAAGGTATATAGCTATATTCTAGCTATACCGAGAGTAGGTAATACTAAAACTACTACTACTATTACTCTCGCGCTTATATCTAGCTAGAATTACACCTATAATATATATAAATAAAGTATTAAATATCGAAGTATCTAGGCTATATTTTAGTATTTTTGCTATACTCTTATTATATTTATAGATAGTAAAGTATAAGCTAGTAACTTATATATAATATAGAATATAAGCTAAGAGTATTTAAGCTTTATATAAGTAAAGTATATAGCTACGCTCTAGTTATACCGAGAGCTATATTTAAAATATATATTACTTAGATATAAATATTCTAAGTATTTTTACTACATATTTATAATATTTTTAAGTAGTAGAGTATACGTATACTAAGGGTAGAACGTAAGCTAAGAGTAAGGTTACGTTATACTAAGGTATCAAGCTAAGAGTATCTAAGGTAAGACGTATAGCTACGCTCTAGCTATATTAAGAGTTATTGTGAGGGTTGGAACCCATGATGGAGGCTCGGGCCATGCCCTCGCTAAGCACTGACCAAAGTCCCTGCTCAGCACTGGCCATAACCCCACTGCCAAGCAAGTCTCTTCCATTCTATACTTTTCTGTTCTATTCTCTTGACATCATGTATTTGTTAAGCAGTTTCTTGGAATATTCTAGAAGCTCTTCCTCTCTCTATATATAGAGAAAGAGCTTGTATGTATGTAGTCTTCACGCACTTTTCGGGCCATGCCCTCGCTAAGCACTGACCAAAGTCCCTGCTCAGCACTGGCCATAACCCCACTGCCAAGCAAGTCTCTTCCATTCTATACTTTTCTGTTCTATTCTCTTGACATCATGTATTTGTTAAGCAGTTTCTTGGAATATTCTAGAAGCTCTTCCTCTCTCTATATATAGAGAAAGAGCTTGTATGTATGTAGTCTTCACGCACTTCTTAATTGAATATTCGAAACCACACCTTTGAGCTATTCGAGGTCTGGCCTCTCACAGTTATATATAAAACTACTACTACTCTCGCGCTTATATTAGGCTAGAATTATATTAGTAATATATATTAAGCGAGTATTAATTATCTAAGTAGCTAGACTATATTCTAGTATTTTCGTAAAACTATTATAATATTTATAGTTAGTAGAATATAGGCTAGAAGCTAGATAAGTATAACCGTGGATTTTAGTAGGGTACTAGGGGTATATTACTTCGAGTCTTACTATATTATTAGCTACCTCTACGCTTTTCCTTAGTATTTAACTCTTAATTCAATAACTTATTATTATTAAAGTATAAAACTTAGCTATAATAGCTACTTAGAAGCCGCCGAGTTCGTACGAGCTAGCGTAGCTAGCGAGGCGTACTTATAATCTATTAACTTAATAATTAATTAATTAAATAATATTAAATTAACTTATAAAGAGACTATTAGACGTAATAAAAGGGCGAGAGCGAGCCTACGAGCCCGTCTAGCCTCGTAGTATAATAAAACTACTATAGTAGGTAAAGTTTACAAGATTGAAGAAGTAAATAAAATTAATATAATAGTATTAAAAACATATAAGTTTTAGAGTTAAATAACTATATTTAAGTTACCTCGAGGGGAAGTATTAAGGAAATTATATATATATTAACTAGAGTCTAGATTAGGACTAGCGTTATATAAGGTAGCGTTAGCTATATATTACCTAAGTATAAACCTCGACTTCTTCTCTTCTTAGTTTAATTTATACTCTTTAACCTACCCTTTATCTATTATACTCTATGTTCTATAAGAGGATTATTACTATCTCTAGAGGATATCTACTTAATAAATAGCGTCTTATAGTAGGGTTTACTAGAAACTACTTTATATTCCTCCAACGAGATAGAATATATTCCTCGCGAGATATATACTACGGAGAAGATAGTGTTCTATTCCAGACATAGATATATATACGAGTATACTACTACGAAAGAATAATAGTAACTAAGGACTAAGATGATTATATATTACTAAAAAGATATTTAATTATATATCCGTTAAATATTAACCTAGCTAGGTAATCACCCTTGATTCTAATTAGAATAGCTAGAAAAAGGAAAAGAAAAGAAAAGAAAGACAAACTCCTTTCCTTCCTAGTCTTCCGCGTATACTATGCTAGCACCAACCAACCAAACACCCCGACCGAATTCCAAGCCTCGTTCATTTTACATCCTATGCTCATCATACATGCTTGATTCCAACTCCAGAACAGAGACTCGCCCAAAGATACAACGACCCCTAATCCAACCCCAAACCTAGCCCCGCGTCCCCTTTCCCTACAATATACAAATGAAAGAAAACATCACCTTCACAACGCTCCTTTACCTATCGCCCAAATCCAGAAAAAGCAAAAGACAAAAGGAGAATCCCGTTCGTGGGCAATTAGTTCAACTTCTACTCTTCCAATCTAAACATCCTCCTAAGCGCCCCAAACTTCTTCTTCTTCCTCCCCGGCACCACCCCAAGAATGTCCACCCCACCTAGTCCCGTAGCAGTATGTCGTCGATTCCCCAGCCCAGGTCTATCATCACCTCCGGCGGTGGGTTCCGGTTCATCAGCAGTCCCAGACGTACCGGGTCTCCTGCTCTCATCACCCATCATCGGTGGTGCAGCCAAGGGCCAATCACTTCCAATCCCATTCCCATTCTCTGTATTACCGCTGACTCTCCTCTCAAAGGGATTTCTCTTCTGTAATTTGGGAGAGGTTGGCCGCTCAGAGTCTTTCAGCGTCGCTAGATCGGATCGTCTCCGTTCCAACGGCGCATCCCTCCTCGCGGGACTCTCAGCTCCGCTCTTCCTTACTTTGGAACTAGGATCGGCCTTTTTTCTCCGGAGAATGCTCATGAAACTGCTCCTTCTTGCGGTATTAGGTCGCGTGTATGACCCATTCGCAGAAACGGGACTCATTGCTCCTCTCCCACTACCCGACCTGCGGAGAAAGCCAGATGCCAAGATACCACCCTCACTCGACTTGGTATCTCTCCTAGATGCCCCGTTAGATTCAACTGTTGTCGCAGCCTGGGCGGCTTTGGGAATTGGCCTCTCGTCATCGGAGTCAGGAAGATCACTAGAATCGCCATCTTCGGTTCCAAAACGCCTCGGAATTCCACGCACTGGAGCATTCGATCGCATCGTCTTGTGAAGTCCATTTGATCTCGGGGGCAGTGGCTCGTCGTCTTCATCAGAAGAATCATTGAAGCGACTCCGGAACGCTGGTCGATCATCTTCCTCGTCACTCGAGTCGCCGAACCTGCTCCCGGATTTCTTGGCATGGCTCTTTTTTGCTTTGTTTGCGGATCGACGAAATCCAGGTAGACGAATTGGAGATTTAGCACGAGCTGGAGGCCCACGAAGCGTGGGACCTGAAGTGGAAGGGCGCATCGAGTTTCTCATAAAACTTTGAGGAGAAGACGGTAAGGGGGGTGCCTCGTTACTGCTAAATGGACGGCGCTTGGTAGGCCCTGGCGACAAAGACCTTAAGCTGAAACGACTTGCAGGAATTGGGGATTGTTTTCGACCACTGTCTACAGAGCCTCGCATAGAACTCCTAAAGCGAGGTACATCAGGAGAAGCCTTATTGGCACGCTTGAAACTGCTATCGCTATCCGCTGAACCTTTTCTTCGAAGGGTAGGCGCTGGCGGCGCAGATGGCTGCTTCATAGCGGCTGCAGCTCTTTGAGCTGTCAATTTTCTTATCATAGCATCAACAGCCTCGGGGTCTGGCTTGTAGTCATCCGTGGTGCGAGTCATAGGGAGGTGCCTTTTTTGCAAAGTTCCTCGTGGCTCTACAGATGGAGACTCACGTGGAGAATTGGGCTCGACACCAGGACTTCTCATCGACTTTCTCACATGTACTTTGGTGGGAATATCCTGGGGCGTAGGACGCATGGAAGACCGCAGTGGAATAGGCTGCTCATCATGCTTCGTACCAGGCGCAATCATGTAAGTTCTCTGTTTATGAGGTGCAGATTGCCGAGGCGCTGGAACACTAGCTGACGGAGACGGCTTCACAGGCGCTTTCTCCTTAGGTTTCGTGGGCGATGAAGGGGCACTCTCGGCTTCTGCTTCAAGCTCCAATTGTCTCTTTTTCTCTGTAGAAAGACTTCTCCAGTATTCTTGGGCCTTTTCCCAACCATCATCTTTTCCTGGCCCGCCTGTTTTCTCAATAAGCTGACGGTACGCCCTCTCCCTTGTAGCCTTTGAAGTTGGGCTATCAGGTGGGGTGGTGAGGGCAGTTTCAGCGCCGGAGGTAGAAATGATAGGGCTGTCGACAACAGCATCCAGAGACATGAAGCCGTCACCATCAAGTTCCTCAGCAGCATCACTGTAGATGCTGTCACCTTCAGATTCCTCACTTTCTTCTACGATAGCCGTCGTCTGGTGCCGACGAGCACTAGTTCCTGCAAGAACGGGCGAGCTAAGCGGGGCGACAGCTGATGGTGGTGCCACAGTAGTTTCCACCACGGCCGACGTACTAGGATCATTCTGTTCTGAGTCTGAGTGCTCATCACCCCACCCCCCTGGCATGTCTGGCCATTCCCCCGTCTTTTCCGTGACCTCTATGGTAGGAGTTGCGCCGGTGATGGAAATACCTGGAACTCCCTCCTCTTTGGACTCTGGCTCATCGAGGTCTGCCCGGCCTGTGGAATTTTCTGCAGCATGCTGGGAGGTATCAATGTGAAGACCACCATTGCCGGTCTTGCCATTCTCGGTCGGGCTATTTACTTCTGCGCCCTCGAATTCATCTCCGCTCGCGACGCTGCTACTCGTATCTGAAAGGTAGCCATTACCATCAACAGATGTGACTTGTGGTGGTAAGGGTTCCCCCGTAGGTAGTGGTTCCCGAGATCTCGATATGTTTGCCGCATTTTTCATCGCTGCGTCTTGAGCTAGAATCGACCCGGCTATAAAGTCGTTGGATGGACCCAGAGGATTTTCAACATTTTCAGCAGTAGGTGGAGTCGTAAGCGGCGGAGATGGAACAGTAGCTTCCGTACCTTCAGTCATGGTGGGCTTGATGAGTGGGCGTTCCGGAGTAACATCTCGTTGCGGCTTCTTTTCTCGCACACTCCCAAAGGAAGGCAAAGCTGGCCTTGGCTTCATAACCTGGCCATCATCATCGTCGAAAGAAGGTGCTTCCTTCTTCTTCCCTCTACTCATGCTGAACCACGATCTCCTCGTTTGTGGACCTTGCACAATTGGAGAGTCCAGGGTGACAGGTGGAGCAGCCGATCCGACGATCACGTTGGTTTCATCAAAACTAACACGGTTGGCCTTCTTTCTGGGAACCGCAAGCTCCTCCGGACTGTCATTGGATATGCTTCCTTTATGTGTTTCTGACGCAAGTGGTGATGACCCTCGAGCAGCTCCTGGATGTTTCAACGCAGATTTGCGAGGGGATATGGACCGCGGCGGAGGTTGGTGCTTCACAAGTAGGTTTTCGGATGGCGACTTTGCAAAGTGTGTAGCTCGTGCTGGGCTCACAGAATTTGCCCTCCCACCTCGAATGCTTCCTTTGGCGGTTGGTGTTACCTCGTCCGCAGGCACTTCCAGATTCACATCACTGGCAAGGATACTTTGTTGCGATTGCCGACCAAGTTCGGGCGAAATATGTCCCTTGCCCCTCCCCGCAAGTGATCTTGGTAGGGTTTGTGGAGAAGTTGTTCGATATCGTGTGGTGTTCGTATCCAGCTTGGGAACATCATGTTGCGCCTTTATTGGGGTATCATCTTCCTCCTCCTCCCTCTCTCTTTCCTCTCTCACAATTGATGGCTTCTTAACGAGTGGAGAACCTTCCTGGTTATTTGATGCTGTAGCGTTAGTAGTATAATCATCATCTCCATCTGACGAATTTGGTATATATGATGCCTGATCGCTTCCCGAATCGCTCGAAACTACTTTCTTCTTCTCCCGCCCCGGCGAATCTTGGACGCTTTGCGAAACAGCTTCCGGTCTGGTTATTCGGTCTGATCTTGATTCCAGAGCCCTCTTTGGCACGGAGTTTTGTACGGTTGCAGCTTCCATCGCATCGACAGCAGTTCCCCTCGGTTTTGCTCCCATTGTCTTGTCGGCAAGATGTGTTCCTACTGCTTGCTTTGGCGCAACTCTTTTCTTCTTCTTGACGGGTGCATTCGCTGCGTCGTACATTCGTTGCTCAATAGCCAATACCTCCGCTTGAGGTAAAAAACTTCGGGTATTGGGATCATAGACCAGACTGTTGTTAGTAGGGGAGGTTATCGTTGGCGGTTTTACCCTTTGAGGTGCTGATGTTAGCCGTCTGTGTGTGAGAATGGGTGACGCAGGTCTTGAGCTCGTAGGCAAAGAAAAATTGACGGACCCTCTATGCGACGGAGTTCCACCTCTCTCTTGTAGACTAACTGGACTCGAATCTCTCTGTCCCGCTCGCCCGTTGCGCGATGCCATCGTCGGTCCCAAACTTGATCCTCGTCCGCTCGGTTTATTTGGTGGAGGAGGGGCGACACGCACTGGGGACACATCCAAGCTGGCCGCTCGTCGATGGGATTTCTCTGGAATGGCTGGCCGTATATTCTTTGGGAGTGCAGGAACCGGCGGTGCATCTGCCGCACTAGGTACTGGCTGCGATGACCGTAAGGGAGATGGATCTCGGAAGGTTCTCTCCGACATGGAGCTCGAACTTCCCCTCCGTTCCAAGGAAGGTTTTCCTGAACCCGCACTGCCCGTAGAAGCTACCGAGCCAGCTCGTCTTAAGGTCCTCTTGGTCTGTACATCGGCGACGGATGTGGGAGTGGGTGGCCTGGATCGCAGAGCTGCGGCGGCGGCAGCGGAGGATAAAGAAGCATTCGACGTGCGGTTGTTCAGAAAGGCTTGCGCCGCAGCGACGGCCGCGTTGGAATTGACATTTGGACCGTTGAGGGGCTATATAGATAGATGTCGTTAGTCGTCTTGTCTCTGTAATTAAACCGTGGATAGGGTTCCGTCGTAGCGCTGCCGTGGTCTAGCCTGAAGGCCAGCGCTCCGACTGCGGTCGTCGCATCGCGAGGATTTCTGGGTCGAGGGTTCTGGCATGTATCATGGGAATTGGCACCTACCGGGTTCGAGGCGGCTCTCCGCCTTCTGTTCCCAAACATGGCGAGGTTTGGGGGGTCGGCGAAGGACCTGTGCCAATCACGGCTCAATCAAAACACGAAGCTATCCACATGGACGAGAGGAGGTTGTTGATCAGGTCGTGGAGGAGGATGAGGATTTGGCAACACACATGGAGTGCTCGTTTCAACGGTGGCCCCGGCTATGACGACGGCACGGCGGGTTTTGGCGAGGGAGGGAGCTGGTGGGAGCTTTGATGTTGCTGGGATGAGGGATTCACTGGGCGTGTGCAACGTTGAGATTGGCTGCAGGTGGTTGTTTGGACAAGTCACACAACTACCCTCCATACGGAGGCTGGACCGGGAATCTGCTTGCGGAAGGGCACTGGGCGATCGGTTGCAATGCGACGTGAAGGACGACGATGACACTTTATATTTGGACTGAGTACACTATGTGTCGACGTCGACGACGAGGAAGCAAGCAGCAGGAGGATCTTATGGAGGAGACAGAGAGAGAGTTCTTGATTGCACCACGCATTACTCGCAGTCGCAGTCGAGGTTGGTGGATTGGCTGCCGTAAGTGAGAGTGAGAGTGACCATTGGCATAGGTGCGTAGGTGCATCCAGCATCCAGCATCCAGCATCCAGCATCCAGCATCCAGCATCCAGCATCCAGCATCAGCATCAGCACCCAGTAGCTGAGCGCTAGTACTTAGCTGAGCGCTGCGCCAGTAGCTACTGTAGGGGAATGTGGTGCCCAAACAATTGCCATGTCAATGTGTCTCCATACGCAAATGGCTCAGCAACCCCCAAACACGGACACGGAAGAGTTTCGGGTGGCAGTTAGATAACAACTCTACATGTTCCATCGTGATTTGGTCGGGCGGTCTTTCTGGTTTGGCATATACTATAGTAGATATACTACAGTAGACATGCTATAGTAGACTGTAGTACCAAGTAGACTCGTTCCTTCCATGCATACCTAGGTATCGTACTGACACTGACACTGTAGCTTTGTTGATAGGCGGGTCTAGAGTCAGCCATGACGTCGTTTGCAAAAAGGCAAGTGCAGGAAGCTGCAGATGCAGATGCAGATGTGGAGATTTATGGGCCATACAAGTACTTAGTAAGCCTTCAAGCACAGCGGCAGGAGCTGACTCGGCACCTGCCCAGAGGTACCCCTTGAGCCTGACCCCGACCCCGACCCCGACCCCGACCCTTTTTTGTAGGAGTCGACTTGGAAGGATAAGCGAAAGCATACACATTCTCGTATATATACCTACCTATAGGTACCCAGCTATGTTCCAAGCGAGCTACACTTGGTCTCTGTGGACAGAAAGGTAGCTGTGCTACCTCTCAAAATTGCCGAGGTTCTCAGGAATGACTCTGGCCGACGTGTATTGCATCTTACTAATAGGTATACTGTACTCGAGCACTCGTACTGTAACGATAGGTATGCAGTTACGACATTGCCCATCCAACCCCATTTTCGAAGTTCCTAATACAGTAAAGTATTAATATTGCCAATTCAACCCCATTTTCAAAGTTCTAATAAAGTAACTGTCACCACATTCCAATTCTCAATACTCGCACAATCACATCCCAATTGCAGGTTGACGAACGCAAGGACAAAATGACAACCCCACCCCCACTCCCCCTCCATCCAGACATCAAGCAATCCTACCTCCCAACCCATGACCTAACATACCACACTCTCTCCGCCGGTTCCCCATCGAATCCTCTCATTCTCCCCGTCCATGGATTCCCTGAACTCGCTTTCTCATGGCGCAAGATAATGGTCCCACTTGCAGCCGAGGGCTACCATGTAGTGGCCTTTGATCAACGAGGCTATGGCTTCACAACAGGTTGGGATACCCGTTCCTTCGATGAGGTAGATATGAAGACCTTCTCATTCATACGATTGGTCCGGGATGTGGTTATATTAGTAAATGCTCTGGGTCATAAGGAGGTGGAATGTGTCATCGGTCATGATTTTGGAGGGTTGACTGCGGGAACGTGTTCGTTGATTCGGCCTGATGTATTCAAATCGTAAGTCTTTTTCTTTCCAGATATCAAGACATTGAAAATGACACACCCCAGTGTAGTAGTAATGTCCCACCCCTTCAAAGGTGCTCCATCTCTCCCCTCCGCTCCCAATTCCACTTCTGCCCCAGGAGGGAAGAAAGAAGACGTCCACCAAGCACTAGCCTCTCTAGATCCTCCCAGAAAACACTACAAATGGTACTACTCCACCCTCCCCGCAGCATCAGAAATGCTCAACCCAAAGGAAGACCTACATACCTTCCTCCGCGGTTACTTTCACCTCAAATCCGCCACCTGGACCCCCAACAACCCGCATCCCCTCTCCTCCTGGTCCGCTCCTGAGCTCTCCCAAATCCCAAGCTACTACACAATGCCCCTCCACGCCTCCATGCGCGAAGCAGTATCCCTCTCCATGGCCGGCGAAGACCCTCTCGCTAGCACCTCCTGGCTCAGCGAGCAGGACCTCGCAGTCTACACTGAAACCTGGGCGAAAACTGGTTTCCAAGGTGCCCTGAATTGGTATCGTGTTGCCACCAATACTGCCAGTTTGGTGGAGTTGGAGGTTTTTGCTGGGAGGACCGTTGGTATTCCGGCGCTGTATGTGGCGGGTGAGAAGGATTGGGGGAGTTATCAGGAGCCTGGCGTGCTGGAGGGGATGGGGAACGTGTATACTGATTTTAGGGGTGTGGTGATGGTCAAGGAAGCTGGGCATTGGGTACAACAAGAGCAGCCTGAGAAAGTGGTGGGGGTTCTGGTCAAGTTCCTAGGAGATGTTAGGAGGGAGAGGGTTAGTTTTTGATGATGAGTGCGATGGGATGGGATAGGGGATGACCAACTCGTTGAATAACTTGTTGATTTGATTGAAACTCCACACATGGTATTCGGGCACTTCTCCTTTTTGCTGTACCTTAACGGTTGTATCTTGTCATGTCAAAGATATTCCACTCTGTCCCTTCGTTAGAGGAAACCAAAGAGAGAATCAACCAGCTTCTCATTTGGTCTATGTCTGGCTCATATTCGGACCGTAAACCCGAGAAGCCTACTAGTCTCATTTGGTAGACAGTAAAGTGGCTGTATGTCTCTTGTCATCCTAATTTTCACGTCTACTGCGATGTATCGGTAGGTGGTCCCCAACTTATCATTGCAGAAATAAGGTAGCCCCAGAAGGGATTGCTAGTCTCGCGGCAGTCGAGGAAAGCTCGTTGTTCCGCCCTTCTGCTACGTTAACTTGACTACAGTAGTTAACTCAGATATCCATGGTAACTGATTCGATTGCCTTCATGTCACCTATTGGCCATCTCAACTGTCAAGCGAGCTAGTGTTCTTTTGACACAAACGGCAGTCTTGGACCACGAATCAGCGAATACGTATGGAACTTGCCGAGAACAGCGAGGTCCCTTTTTCTCACTTTGATAGTTGGATTTGGTTGGACCATTTCACGAAAGCACGTTAAGATACCTCCAATATTTGGCCGTCAAGCTTGCAGTCATCTTCGTAATACCTTCGAAAAATTATCGACCCCAATTCTCTTACGTTGATTGAATTGGTCCACGCACCTTGGTGTTATCAGAAAGATTAGAAGAGAATAGGGTAGAATATTTTGCTACTGGTGGGCCAAATCGTTTCAAAGGACGACCAGAATTTTCCAATTTCCTGTACTCACCGACCCTTTTTTAATTGCGGCCCTTGCTTTTTACTATAGTATATTAGGTTCTTCTAAACCAGATACTCAGAGGATTTTAATCTTTTCTGTTGTTGGAATAATGGCGTCCATAAAATGCCCTACCTTATCAGCTTAGTCTAACGTCGTGGCACTAGTTGTCAATGGCCGTAGATGGAGGGAGTAATCGGTTAGGTGGCTTTAGCCACGCTAATTTGGTTACATAGGCGCTAGAGTAGTTTTAAGATCCGACAGTTAGACTCTTTAATCTACACCTTATTCTTACTTTATAACCCCTAATTTATTTGGTAGAGTAGCTAGTGAAACCCGCCTTATTTAGATACTAAGTCTTCTATTAAAGCTATTTATAGATTTAACTATATTATACTATTAGTATTAGTTAAATCCTTGTCTTTTAACCTCTCGCTACGCGTCTTTAACCTTAGAGTCGAGCAACCTTCGTAGCTATAGATATCATCTATTATACTATATATTAATACTATTATACTATATTAAAAGAACGATCCTTAGACCTCTTTTAACTACCCTACGATTAATTCTAAAAGATCTTAAGTTAAAACCTTATTCTTCGACGCCGAATCCCCTTATTTTAAACCGCGAGACCTTACGCTATAGTCTACCCTCGGAGTTTCGACTTCTAGACGTTCTAAGGGAGGCGCTATAGTTCTATACTTAGTAACGTTAAAGCTTAATACTAAAACTTTAAACCTCTTAAACCTAATACTATATAATACTCTTATATTTCCGGATACTACTTATTAGAATATATATATTATCTAAAGTAGCTTTATTATCGAAAACCTAAGATTAATTACCCTAATTATTATTATTATTCTCCGGATTAGAAGACTTAGTATTATCTATAGGCCGCCTTATAGCTAGACTAATAGATAAACTAGAGACTACTCCTTCGATACTACTAGGCTATATTTATATACCTATTGTACCGGTACCTAAATTAGCGGTATTGCCCTTAATATCTTTAACCCTTAATTTAGAGCTTTATTATACTATTTCGGCTACTCCGATAACCGCTTATTAAGCGGAATTCCTAATTATATCTCTAACTTTCCTTAACCCTATAGCGCCTTACTTACCTATATATAAGATATATAGAAAGTTTAAGGGTAATAATAGTACTATACGCTAGCTTACTAGATTATAATACGATTTTAAGGCTATAAACTATTCTAATCTAACTCTAGAAATATTTTTAAAGCTATTAATATTCTACTTAATAGCTCTACTACTATATAGCTAGACTTAGAGCTAGAGTTTAGAGCTATTATTAATAAGAAAGAGATCGCCACTAAGAAGTAGGTTATATTATTTAAGTAAGCTTTTAAGTCAAAATATTTAATTATAGTCTTTAATATTACTAAGATTAACGTTTAGTATAATATTAAGAACTTGTTATAAGATAAGGAAGAGTCCTTATCTATATACTATTAGTATACTATAGTCTTACTTCGATAAGCTTATAATAAGAACGCTAGTAGGTTAGCTATAAGTCCTACGATTAGCTTTATTAAGAAGATTATATTTAATAGCATTATTATAGCCTTTATTAAAAGACTTTATAATAGTAAATTATAATATATAGCTCTTTAAAAATCTATATTATCTTATAGTACCTTATAAAAGGCTTTAGGCCTAGTTAAGAACGCCTAAACTATACTAAAGACTATAAAGGAGATAGAAGAGCGCTATAATAAGAAGATTAAGTCGAAGAAGCTAAGATAACTCTACTAAAAGTAATATAGTATATCGGCCTCTATACTACTAGCTAAGCTTAACGCTAGCTAGATTATAGTTCCGATTACTATAGAAAAGAAGGCTTATACTCTAAAGACTTTAACCTTAATAGATTCTATTTAACCTTAAGGTTAAACTACTAGAGCTCTACTCTAGAATGCTAATAATACCTAAAACACTTAACCTTAGAAGTCTAACTATATATCTAGAAGCTAGAGAAACAAGGTATATAATATCTAAACTAAGCTATACTCCGGCTCTAATAGCTAGAGAAATTCTAGAGTTATTAAATCGAGACTAGGACTAGACTACTTAGATCTTAGAGTCTAAGTACTATCTGGAAACCGCTATTAGTTACTACTAGATATTATATAAGGAGTTTATAAAGCCTTTAACCTTTAACTTAAAGGTATACGGTTTAAGTACCTTAACCTTAAATTCTAAGCTAGGTAGATCGAAGAAGAGATAATATAATTTAATTAACAACCTTATAAATTTAGTTAATAATAAAGTAATAGATAATATTTAAACTAAGAATAAGAAAACAGAAGAGAAGGCTAAAAATAAAGCTAAGAAGAAAGCTAATAAGAAGGGAGTTAAGGCTATTTATATACTATATAAGATTATAAGATAAGAAAGCTTAGGACTAGTTAACTAGTATACCCTAGCTATAAGAATTTAGGTTCTTTTAGACCTTATTAAATTCTTTTAGATTTTACTAGATAGTATAAAGGTATTTTATAAACTCTAAACTTATAAAAATAATAAGAAGTTAGCCGAGAAGCTAACTGTATTATCTAAGTTAGTTAGATTTACTAATAATACTACTATCTTTAGATCTATAATATAAAAGATTCTTATTATAAATATTAAGAAGAAAGCCTTTAATATTAACTATTTTATTAGAGTCTAGAAGAATAGCTAGACTATTAAAGTCTCTCTACTAACTTATATAATATAGGTAGATTTTAAGTCTAATCTTAATATTATCTCTATAGCCTTAGTAAAGGAAATAAAGCTTAAGCCTTATCCTTTATCTAAAAGATAATTTGGTAGTCTTATAATAAATACTACTAATAGTAGAAATATAGAATTAATATATTTTATCTAACTCGAAGTTAGAACTTATAGAGTCTAGTAAAAGATTAAAGCCTTTATATAACCTTATAACTATAATAATATATACTTATTACTAGGTCCAATATAGTTATAAGATATAAATATAAAGATTAGAGTTCGTATATCTTAGATTAAGCTTAGAAATACCTTGATTAGTAAAAAGGTTATTACTATTATAGGTCTAAAGTTCGTTCTATCTTAAAGATATAAGCTATTCCTTTATCTAATTAATATAACTTAAATACTACGAAAGCTAAAGAAGTGTCACGAATCACGTGTTTGCACGTAAGGAGTGAAGACCAGGCGGCGTCCTGACAGGTCAAGCACTATTGAATACTCTTATAGCAAATGGGATCGGTTGGGCTAGCTAAGCGATCCAGGGGTTTCACTTGGATAGTATCACGTGATATGGTCATTTGACCATTGGAGCTTGCAGGAGCTTTGCGTGGAGCTTATGGAACGTACGTTCCATAAGATCCAGGTCTTGGGATTACAAGGCCCTCGAGTATGAAGGTTCTATATAAGACTGGCACTTCTGCCACTAGATAGGAGCTTCGTGTAACGAATACTCAAACTGGCTAACTAAACTTGGCTGGGTGTTCGCTGGTTGGTATGCTATGATAAGAAGAAGACTATCGGGTTGTTCACTTGGAAGTGAACTCGTTACTTGTATCAAAGATGTCAAACTAATATGATAAGATTGATAACAAAGTTGAGCACGAAGCTCCTATCTAATTGCAGAAGTGCCAGTCTTATATAGAACCTTCGTTCTCTGTGGTCGCCATGGTCGACCTGGTCGACCATGTCGCTCGTCACGTGATCCCTAGTCCAAGGAAATCCTTGGATCGCTTAGCTAACCTAAACGATCCCCATTTGCTATAAGTCTATGGATGGTGCTTGACCTGTCAGGACGCCGCCTGGTCTTCACTAGTCACGTGTGCACGTGATTCGTGACAATCTAGTGTTTAGGACTTTAAACAAGGGTATAAGTTTATATTAGAGGAGCTACTTCTAAAAGTAGCTTAAATAAAAATACACTTATCCTTTAAGAAGATAAAGCTTTTTATAGATAAGGTTTTAGCTTTAGGTATTATTTATAAGTCCGGAGGGGTTATTAATACTAAGTTATAGCGCTTAAATAAAATCTACGAATAGCTAGTACCTAAGAACTCTAAGTAGGCCCGAGAATTTATAAGTGCTATTAGTATTATATAATATTTCGTAAAAAACTTCTTAGAACTTAAGATACTACTATTATGATTTACTAGATTAGTAGATTAGCGCTAGGGTAAAGCTAAGTAGTACTTGTTTAACCTCTTATAATAGAAATACTTAGAGGTTTTAGATATATATAGCTAGGATAATAGATTATTACTAGTATATATATATTTAGATATAAGTAAATAAGGTAGAGGTTATACAATAACCTAGATTAGAGATAGTAAAGAGGTACTAATCCTATATAATACCTTTATATTTATAAAATTTTAGTGGAACTATAGTACCTATAAGTAAGAACTTTATATAATCGTAGAGTTTATCTAGAAGTTTAACTATATATTCTAAGAACTAGTTAAATCTATAATCTATATAGATTATTAACCGCTTATATTTCTTTTAAAGGCCTTGTATATTAAAGGTATCTATATAAGATAGCTAAATCTAGAGATTAAGTAGATTCCTAGGTCTTATAATAAGATTATAGACTTATTATCGAGAACGCTATTCTTGTGACGGAGCTGGATTTCATTTGACAGGATTTCATTCGCTTGGCCAAGCACGTGACGAGACTTGGCATTGGAACAACTTAAATAACTTCGCTCCTTTCAGATTCTCTTCTCTCTTTAGTTTGATTTCTTCGTACCTACGGTTTTAGTTCTAGCAATTGATTCAAAAGCTGTATACACTTTATCCTTTGTTGGCATCCGTGACAATTCTATAACGTTAAAGAGAAGTCTAAATACCTAGATAAGTTTAGTTACTTTAAGAACTTAAACGGTATAATAGCCGGAGAGGAGCCTTAATAAATCTAGAAGAACGATAAAGGAGGTTATAAGGAACTTATTACTAAAGTTAGTAACCTAATATAAGATAAGGAATTACGTTATTTAATACTAGGAGGGGAGTCCGTCTAGATATTATCTAGCGCGTAGGTTTCTTTATTTATAGCCTAGCTTTACTAGAATAATAAGACTAGAGAGGAATAGTTAAAAGCTAAATATATTCCGGCGATCCTAGATTTATTTAAGATATATCTTAGAGATAGAATCTTTATTAGCTAATAGATAGTATAATAGAAATATTATAGCTATCCCTAGTATAAGGATATAGCTATATTTATAACTATAGCTAAATACCCGGAAGCCTACGTCATAAAGATATAGTAAATAGCTTTTTATAAAAAACTTAAGCGTTATATATTAAATAATAAAAGCGTTTTATATTTTAATCTAAGAGGCGTTACTAAATAGTATATTATAACTAAGGAGGTCTCTTTAGTCCTCTATATAGCTTATAATAAAGGCGGCTATTTCTAGGCGGCTATTACGATTTATAAAGTATCTAAAGTTTATTAGCTAAATATAGCTAAGAATACTAAAGATTATATCCTCGGATACTATTAGTATACTAAATATAGTACTACTCGGAGGACTTAAACCTTATCTAAAGTTATAGTATCCTAACCTATAGAATTACTTAGAGCCGACTAGATAGGACTATTTCTAGACTTTAAAGATAGTAGAGTTTACTGGATCCTCCTAGTAATTAATTATTTTACTTACTATACTTAGGTAAAAGTATTTAATTAGAATAACTTATTAGTAGTTATTAAGTTCTTATTAAAGATCTTTATAGTATATAGTACTTCCATTAGAATCTATATAGATCCGGGACTATACTTCGGAGCCGAAACTATTAAATAGGTATAGTTAGAAGGTATTATACAGACTATATTACTATTAGAAGCTAAGAAAGCTATAGGTATAGTAGGGAAGGTAGTAAATGTCTTATAATAAGTTCTTAAAAAGAATTATCCGATTTTTTAGAAATAGCTAGATTACCTTAATAAAGTACTCTACGACTTTAATAATTAATATATTAGTTATCTTAGCTATAGTCTCTTTAAGATTATATATAGATTTAAGGCTATAAACGCTATCTAGAGATAGTTTCTATCTTACTAGCGCTAGTTTTTAGGTATTATACTATTAGTCGAAGAAGCGGAAACTATCTTACCGAATAATACTATTTATACTAACTTAGTTATTAACTATATTATTCGACGATAGGAATTAAGAATTAAGGTAGATTAGAGGTCTAACCTAGCTAGGTAAAGAACAAAACAGAAGTATAATTAAGGTATTATTTAGAATATAACTTTAACTCTAGGTTAGCTTGTTATATTATATAATAAGAAGTAGTCTAGTAAGAAGATATAACTATATTAGAGGAGACCTTTTATAATTAATAGATATAGAGGAGAGCTTAGGAAGTTCTATTTAATTCGCTAAATTAATAGATAACTTATCTAAGAATACTTTTATAGTAATTACCTTAAAGCTTTTTATATAAGAGAGAGCTATCTTATTATAAAATTAGAAGTAGAATTACTAATATTTCAAAATATACGTCTAGGTATAGTAGTATTTAAACTACTAAAGGAGGTTCGTATAATAGCTAGGGCCTATCTAACTTAAGTTATAGTCTTTAGATTCGCGGTCTCGACCTCTAGGTTAGGTCTTTTAGTCGGCCGAGCGCCGTCCAGTTACCGTATAGTAGTCCTTGTATTAGGAGGTTTCGCTCAGGGGGTTTTACTAAGAGGGTATTATATAATATAGATTATATCTATAGAAGGATATAAAAAGATAATTCTAAGCTTTATAAGATATATAGCTATTATATAGCGGAGGGACTATATAATTCGAGCATTTAAGCTATACTTTGTATATAATTAGAGGTTTTACCCCTAGGTTTTAAGTAGTCGGTCCTCTTATCGACTTAGGGGAGTCTGTGGACCGTGGGGAGTAGATGGAGGGAGTAATCAGTTAGGTGGCTTTAGCCACGCTAATTTGGTCACCTAGGCGCTAGAGTAGTTTTAAGATCCGACAGTCGGACTCTTCAATCTACACCTCATTCCCACTTCACAACCCCTGATTTATATGCCGTATGTGCTATTATTGTAGCTCAGAGGTTTCGTGTTTAGGCACTACTTCCATCGGAGTCGGACCAGCTGCCCACCTTCGCTGAACAGTGTTATTTGCCCCCACACAAGCACGTCCCAGTTAGCCGAGTTTTACAACCAAAGTTATGCATAACAGGTCATCTCGAGAGAGGTGTACATCGATAGCGTCGCAGCCGCTTCGGTATCGCTTCCAAGGCTTGATACTGCAAATGGAAGATGCTACAAGTTTGTCCGTAATGTGATGTCAGCACAAGTCCTGCGACTCATCTCAGTATAATAGCTTTAGGTGGTTCTGCTGGACGAAACCGGATGTTAGATTGCTGTTTCTCACGGTTGTGACGATTTGAGGCACGGCATGAAGGTTTTACAGTACAAACCCAGGCGCTGTGTTTCCGGAAAAGGTGTATTTTCAGATGAAGAACGGGGCTGTTTTACTAACGCTCTTAGCCCTCTAAGACCCGCTATTTAGCAACAACGTCCAACGTCCTATCAAAAGACTGTATTATAAGTGAATCAACCTTTTATATATCCGAGCTGGGTTTCTAGAGATTAGTCCATTTAACCTTTTCCGGAAACACAGCGCCTGGGTCTGTAGTTTCCAAAACGGAGCTTCCCGCGCAGACGTTACTAGAAAGTTCCGCACTGTCTACGCTCGAGCTAACGTACTTTCAATAAATGTTCAGCTGCCTTTCATTTCTTGCGATTGGTCGGAGATGGGCACACCCAAAGAAAGGCATCGGGTTGGCACGCAAGGCACGTTGGGCAAGCGGTGTTGTTCGTGACTTGCAAGTGAACCACGATGGCCAGGTCCCGAATATGTTCCATGCCTGGTTTTACAAGTGAAAGGAGATAGCTTGTCGGCGTCTTCCAAGAAGGACTTCGCCCGGTACTATTTCCCGTTCCCCTCAGCCATCAACGGTCTTTCCTCCAATAGCAATACCCTTCCCAAGCCCTATCGGTAGTCAATAAGCTTGACATCTAAGTTAAGCTCGAACTGCTAGTCTGGCACCGCATAGCGTTGCGTCACGTCACCTAAACTTTGCTTGAATATTGATTCTTTCAGAGTCGGATCAACACCAAACGCTCGAACTATCATGGAACATGGATTATCCGTGATGAGATCTAGTCGATGATACATTGTTCAGTTCCCCATCAACTCTTCTTCTTCTCACGCCTCCCGATGTCGATTCTGCGCCCACCACTCTGTAGGATGCAGACGTCAACTTCAAATGTCCTTCAGTGCTTGCCACTGAGTCAGAACCCATCTCGAAGAGAATCCCCAGATTCGAAAATGTCAAATACATCCACACAAATTTCCACCATTTCCACCATTTCCACCATTTCAACCATTGCGCAGCCCAAAAGGGAACACACAAGAAAAGGGGGCCCTCGGTCTCGCGGAGGCTGCACTACATGCAAGTAAGTAAACATTCGAGGTTGAAGAGCCATTTGCCATCCTACTCCAAGCTGACAAGAAGACCAGGATTCGAAGGGTCAAGTGCGGAGAAGAAAGACCAGGTAAGTCGGGAAATATGTTTCTATGTACAAGTATTCTGAGCTTCTTCTCCGCATTCAAGGCTGTCTGAGATGCGAAAAGTTTGGGATGAAATGCGACGGGTATACGGATACAAAAATTAAACGAGCGCCACCTCGAGCTCTCCGAAAGGAAAAGCCCGACCGACCACTCCTCATTCCCATCGCTCCAGCCTCAAGGATTTCTGTCTCGTCACCATTTCAAGACCACGTCGAGTATCAATACTTCCGGCTCTTCTGCGACGAAAGCTCGGAAAGGTTTTCGGATAGCAAGGATAATTATTTCTGGAAAATTGTGATTCCACAGGCGTGCCATGCCGAAGATTGCGTCAAAAAGTGCGTGATTGCACTTGTCGCATTAGATAGAGCATACCGCTCGCGGCAGCTATGTTTGGAGTCAGAATCGGAGTCTCCTGCTTCGGAAGATAGTGGTAATCAGAGTCTTAGTGGGGACAGGTTTGCATTCATAGGCTTCATTCTGATATATTGCTAATCGCAAGTTCACAGCTATCACAGGCACCGCAACTACGCTCTACGCAAGTATGGGCGCGCCATCTTGGGAGTACAAGATATGATGGAGAGAGGCACGAACAATGTACGGCTTGCTTTGATAGCGGCCTTTCTTATATATTCTTTCGAGATTCTGGACGGGAATATCGGCTCAGCAATTAACCAGTTATGTTCGGCAGTCAAACTCCTGTACAGGGACCCAAGATTCCAAGAATTCAGCCGCTCTTCCGTTTCCACTCGGCTCCCGACAGTTGATAGCGACATTTCCACTGCCATGTCCCGCGTCTGGTTGGATTGCACCAAATACACCCGAGTCGAAATCAAACGAAATTGTCCCAATGACATCCGGAAGAAACAGAAAGAGCTGGCTGAGCTCCAACCAAATCTCATTCCATTCAGTACACTGAGAGAGGCTCAGGCCACCTGGGATGCACTGGAAGGAATTGTTTCCGCTACGCTGCGTGGAGGTGGGAATCTGTCCGAGACCAGCAAAGAAACCGATTTGGTCAAAGCGATGCAAAGATGGGCAGCAGCATTTGAACCGATCATGAGACAGGCACAAACCTTTGAGCGAGAAAGCGATCTCGTTGGAACGCTCAGTCTACGGGCACAATGGCTACGTTGTCAATTCGGACTACTGATTCGTACCGGAACTTGGTCAATATCGCTCCGGGACCAGATCTTCTCCATATTCAAGGAGTTTGTTGCTCTAGGACGCTTAATTGTAAAGAATCCTTCTTTCCAGAGGGGATTTACCGTTGCCACTGGAATGATGCCCATTCTCTTTGTCGTTGCTCTTCGATGTCGTCGCACACAGGTTGGGGAAGACGCCCTAGAGGTTTTAAGGGATATGAGGCCAAGACGCGAGGGATTTTGGTAAGTCTCTCTTCTCGTAATCAAGGACACGATACGAATTTTACGGAGCAACGATATTGTTGAAAGGGATAGCACTGACTGATTCTATAGGGATAGCATAAGTTCAGTAAGAATAGTAGAGAACATGATAAATTCACGAATCTTTGATGATTTCCTCACGCAAGAGGATTCAGGCACCAAGTTATTCCACAAGGACTACATAGTTGGAATTGTATACACCCCCTCCAACGAACATATCGAAGAAGTCATATCCGATATCTCGCAAAAATATCTCGATGACATGCGAGACTATGCGCCGCCAGTCAGTAACGTAAGCTCACCAAACACGTGAAACTCCGTTGCTGTAGTCTTTCTAATGGGGGAACACAGGTCTCGTCTGCCGCGAAGCCGATACCGCAAAATCGGATGGAAGAGGAGCCCGTGAGCGATCCGGAAGACGTGTGTGGGGAAGGAACGGAGTCCGAGAAGGTGTCTAGATTCTATAGCGGTATCGCTAATGCCATGAGTTTTGGGTTTCGGGTGGTGTTGGCGGATATCTTTGCAGGGCCGCATAGAAGCGTTGTTCTGAGATAAAGTGCAAAAAGCCTACTTTCTGACCAGGGTTATAGAATGGTCATTCAAGAAACAATTTCTTTGGCTAATACAAGCCCTTGACCCTAATCGAAAACCTTGATGTTTTGTGTGAACCAATCTTTATATCATCCCAAAATCAGCAGGACTACTTGACACGCTACGCTACTTCATTACCAGCGGATTCTTTCATTCCGGTAGCTGTTTCAGTCGTCGCTCTACGTACTGTACAAACATATGAGAGTTGTACTATCTAGATAATAGTGAATTTCCGAATATCGATAGATACGAGGACGACGAGAATTGGCCAATGGTGTGTCACAACCTCGACCTATCTACCTCCGCACATACAGGGGGTTTCCGACCTCCTAGATGGCAGAATATCTTTATCCCCGAAACTTTCCTACGAGAGAAATAAATAAAATAAGAAATCAACCCATCAAGGGTCGGCTAAGATGAAAAACTAGATGAGACTGAAATTTTGTGTTCTTTTGGCTAGTTACGATCCCAAGCCTTCAGCCTAATAGGTTATTACTGGCATTCTTTGAACGCCTGAGGTCTTGAACTTTCATGTGTTTTGGTGGGGCACAAGGGTTAGCGAGGGTAGTGGGGCGACCTTCACTGTACCGATCCTTTGCGGCGGATATAGTAAGAGAAGTGGCAGAAGATTCTTTGCTATTAGCTTAATTCAGTAACACCTACTTCGTTATTCCAGTTATTTTGTCCAGTGAAAACAAATAAACGAAATTCGAAAAGGAATGTCTACTACCTTCCTTCTCTACTGGTGCTGCCAGTACATAAGGAAAAGATACGGCAGTGGAATAAATCGGCCGCAATCATTGCAGCACGCAAAACTACGATCATTCTGCTGCCACTTTCCATGTTCGCATACACAGGTGAGGAACTTAGCAAATTGTGTCGAATAGCCCAAGAACAGCTCCACACGTGCCAATTAAGTGGTAGTAGTGATCAACATTCTATAAAAAGAGCTGATGCTCTGTGGTACCGAATATCCCGTGGAGTATCACCTTCCTGTTAAGCTGATACATAGGGCCCCTATTCCACTGGCTTTAGGTTTGTTGTAACACCCTACCATATACCGAAAGAGAAAGCTCTAGAAGCTCATTTCCAGAACATCACTTGGCAGTGTTCTAGATCAAATCACCTGGTTACACTTGGTATGACTGATGTATCGCTGTTTGGGCGGGTTGAGTGGCAATGCTAAAGCTAACGCACCATTTCGATTTCACAAACAGCAGTTGCCAGCACGTTGTGTGTGATCGAAATTGTGTCACGTCGTTGGTCAAGATAGGTTGCAGTTGGCGGTGAAAGGTATCGAGTATGTTGTTGAAAAGTGCGGAGTAAATCAGCTTGATGCAGAAGGGCTACATCTTTAATGGTTCCATTCGCAGAAGAAAATGCTTGATGTCATCAAACAACACCTTCGATATTGGTTCTTTTGTATCGTGACACCGTTGCAGTTATATATATACACAGGCGCATATAAGATGTTTAATTGGTGAACCTCCTTCATCAAGGACAGTTGAGGAAATGCACCATATTAGGTAGTCTTACTTCTTTAAACACCGTGTAGCAAATACTGCATGAGTACCTATCGTCTACCGTCTTGAGCTTGTAAATCATGCCTCTCTCGTCATATCTGTATCCAAATAACAGCACAGCCAAGACAGTACAACTCAGTAACACATCGCCAAGTTTTAAAATCTTACAGTGAACACCACATCTGCTATCTGTCTCACATCACAACCTACACATACGTTTTTCATCCATACCAAGAATCGGGTCAAGCTTAATGAAAAGCCACGCCGATAAGCCAAGATTTGTTGAAATGGAGGCCAAGAGGGATGTAGTCCACCAAAGACGTACAGATCTACCGCCAAGTCAGATGATCTCCCCGATATGCATATTCCATATTTTGACTCGAAAATCGTGTTACAAGGAGTCATATATATAAATGAAGGAGAGAGACGTTCCTTTTGTTCAATTGAGTCATCAACCAGCAAGTCCTTAATCAAAGCCACTTCAAAAAGAAACTGATAAACTCTCATTACTCCTTGAAATCGACGAAAGAGTCACAAACAAAATGCCACTACCAAACCACCAACTCACTCTCTCTGGAGCTTGCAGATGCAATTCAATCCTCTTCGAAATCGACATCCCATCCTACAAAACTCGACCGACAGAAAATAAATCCAACCAAAGGCTCCCGCTCATCTTACCTACCACCAACCGCCACACCCACGTGGGCAAAACAAACGTTCTTCTCATACATTCTTCCCAACTCACGGTCTCATTTCCACCAACGACCCCACCCCCAACAACAATACAACCCCACACTTTCCTGCCGCTCCTCGACCCCAAACCCACCATTCCACCAAAGCCAGCGCGAGAATGGAAATCCATCATGCCCATGCTGCAAGATGCGAATCTCCGGTGCTCTTGCCTAACGATCAAGACTGTCGACTCAAAATCCAAAGTCTCTTGTTCAAGATGTGGAACCAAGCTTTTTGTGCCTTTGAATGATGAGATTATGGAGCTCCCTATCAAAACTTTGGTGACGGAAGGATTGAGAGAGGAACATCAGGAGTGGCTACTTCCCGAAAGGGGACTTCAATGGGATGGTAAGAGTATTATTGTGGAAGAGAGGATCGCCGACAGAGGTGCAGATGAGGGGGTGTTGAAGGATTATGGCAAGGCATGGAGCGAGGGGATATACGGAAGGGTTGGAGCTTGAGGCTTCGCTTTCAATCAACAGATTATGGATGGTTGCTAAAATTTTTGGGATATGTAATTTATAGGCAGCAAGCTTGCTTACGGCTAAAGAGTTCATGTGAGTTAGAGTCAATGGTCTTCTTTCAATTGGAGTTAAAAAGGATCTTAATACTGATTTTGTTTTGTTTTATTCCTTTGCTGATGGAAAAGTTATGTGATGATTACAGTAAGATATTCCCATCCATGGAGAACATACATTAGCAACTAGTGGCAAAATTGCAAGAAATCCCTCCACAAAACTTCAAAAACTCGAACATATTAGTTGCTAGGTACTACATTGAGTGAAAGTAAAAGCATGCCGACGATCTCAATATGTCCCCTTGATTATATCAGCCGCCTTCTCCGCCTGACCATAAACCCCAGCTTGTAATACGCCCGCCTGAATCAACGGAATGATACTCGCATCTACAACCCTCAATCCTCCAATTCCATAAACTTTCAAGTCACTGCCCACACAACCTCCCAGCTTCTCCGGCATCATCGCACAAGTACCAACGGGATGCGCAAGAGAAGGAAGTAAAGGTCCTGCTTTGAGCCCAACAAGAAGCTGGTCATCTGTCTGGTATTGAGCACCTGGTGATATCTCAATTGGATTGAAGTGTGCGAGTTCTGGGGAAGCCCAGAAGGCGCGGGCATATTTTACTATCGCAAGTATGATTGAGGTGTCGATTGGATTCTGTAGTGTGTTGAATTGGACAATTGGTAGCTCGTGGGGATGCGTTAGATTCAAAGTTATGGTTCCGCGAGATGTGGGTTTATGAAACGGCATTGGTGCTGCACCGTTCCCTCGATGAGGGTAACCAACCACACCTGATATGTTCGAAGTAAACCTTCTCGCAAGAATCTTCCGTTGGGCTTCATATCCACGAAGAAGCGGAGGGTATTTGTAGCCGCTCGGCAGGAAATCAATTGCATTTTGTGCCAGATAGTTTGCGGCTACGGAGCCAGCGGCAGTCGTAATCTGTGGTAGCGAGAGAAAGGCGGTCATGCCAGAGCGTCCCGAAGCGATCGGTCCGGTACGGCTCGTAAAGTATTCTTCCCAAACACTGGCATTGTACGTAGCATTGTTGAAAATGGAGTCAGGGTTTGGGAATAACTGATTCGATAAATTGAATTGCATGATGACCGTAGGATGATCTTGTAGGTTTGCGCCAACAGCTTGGAGATCCTTTTTAACTTTGATACCGGCCGCTTCCAGAACTTGCCTGGGACCAATACCACTCACTTGCAGCAGTTGAGGCGTCTGTACTGCTCCGGCTGCGAGTATGACTAGTTTGCAAGACGAAGTTAGTTTTTTCCCCTCGATACTAAGATAAGAAGAGCGGGCTTTCGAAAATAGGTTAAACAAAGTACAAACCTTCCTTCTTCGCATAAACTTCAGCGATTTTCTTGTCAGCCCTAGAAATGATCCTCACCCCCTTCGCAGTAAGACCACGAAACAAAATCTCGCTAACCGTCTGTCCCGTCAGAATATGAAGATTCTTCCGCGTCCTACAAACACTATCATAATACGCCCTCCGACTCGTATCTCTCACCCCCTCGCTGCTATCAACCGTGTTATCTACCCAACCTGCACCTGGCCACTGCCCATTATTAAAATCCCTCTTCTTCTCCACACCCTCCTGAGCATACCACGCATTCCAAAAACTCAACAGATCCGGGTAGATGAAGTCATCAATCGAAGCATGAAGGGGACCACGATCATAGACTGATGGATCCCAGGTGATGTTCCATTGTCTCACTGTTGGTGGTGTGGGGGGTTGGAATGTAGTGCTCTTCTTGAAATAAGGAAGGAGGTCGTTCCAGCCCCAGCCTGGATTACCGAGTTCTTCCCAAGCGTCGAAATCGGCTTTGCTTCCTCGGCCGTAGGCCATTCCGTTAACAACTGCATTAATTTAGCATTGTGAATTTTACTGCCCAGGATAGACAAAGGAGAATAGGGGTTATCTTTCATCCTGGTCAAAAAGCCCAAAACAAATAACAACTTACCACTTCCACCCCCAACAACAGCAGGAACAGCAACCCCAATCCTCCTCCCATTTAATCCCGGGATGGGCGCAGACGTAGGCCTCATCATAACACTCTCATCAACCGCACTAGCAAACGCAGGAATAATCGCCTCCGGTTTATCGTCGAAGAATCCCCTTTCGAGGACCAAGACACTGTCTAACACCCATTATCAACTGAAGTATTTGAACTATGAGAAATGAAACTTACTTTTCTCATCCTCACTCAACCGATTAGCAATTACCAACCCACTCACTCCACCCCCAACAATAACTAGTTTTTGAAAAATTTAGCTTTACCTCTCATCACATACTCATGAATGGCACAGCACTACGCAGTACCCAGGAACATACATACCATAATCAAAAGTCTTCCCTAAGATATCATCTCTATTTTCCAAGGGACATACTAACGCAGCAACTCGTGTCACCAATAAACCACCCAGCGAGAGGGCCTGCATCATGTTCAAAAACCCTCGCATGATGGGGTGGGATCATCAAATAAACCTGGTTTTCTTCTAGGAGATATACAGTATCCACAAGAGAGTGAGATAGTACGAAGGACACAACAAGTAATATACATTTACAAGCCAAGAATCCACAAACCCCGCTTGGTCCAGTACACCATTCGCACCCAATAAGAGCAATACCCAACATGAAGCCACAGTAAGATCACAACGCCAAACGCTTACTAACCACCTCATCACACAACAGAACCCTTGGCATCAGACCAGCCGACCACTTGATTTTGAAAGAAGAACGAATAATATGACGGCAAACACTACTTAATTCCAATACAAGTATATAAACCAAGAATCAGAAACAGGCAACTCTCTCAAAAGTCGCCCGTTCCCACCTCACCCCATCCCCTACCAAAACCCAGTCCATAAAATACAAATACTGTTGTCCTTAGATACACCGCCAAACACCCCCATCCCATCTCTGTACCATCATACATTATTGTAAAAAACGCCAGGCCCATTTTTATAAATGCACCAATTCATCGTCGCCTCGTCCCATTAATCCATCCATCGATCCGGCCAATCATGATACACATAAACCTCTCATCGTCCAAGCCACTACAGGAACCCCTTACTCATACTCGGCTGCCTACTAATACTGCTCTTCCGCTTCGGAATTTCGATCCCATTTTCTTCAACTCCCGTGCCCCACGCCCCATTGCGACGCACGGCACCCGCTTTCCAGCCCTCGAGTTCACGTTCAAGTCGTAGAGCCTTCTCGCGTTCTTCCCGAAGCTCACGCTCAGCTCTACGAGCACTAAGTTGGCTGGTTGAGTCACTGCTTTGAAGCTCGTCAATTGTTTTGAGTAGTTTCTCGGCTCGGTCACGAGCACGGGCAACATCCTCCTCTAGTTGCGAGTTAATCTTATCGCGACGATCAATCTGGGACTGCAAGTCCTTGACTGTGCGGTCAACATTGCGGACAGAACGCTGTGATTTGTTGCGTTCATTTTCTTGAGTTTCGAGTTGTGCCTCGAGCTGAGAGGTTGAATTAGCAATGAATACACAGATATGATGATTGAATGAGCTTACCTCTTGGACTCGTCCATGTAAGAATCTCACATCTTGACTGGCACTTGAGTAACCCTTCGTCTCCAGATCTATGAGTTTCATTTGGTGCTCCTTGAGCGATTTCTCCAAAGCAGCCTTCTCCTTGTTGAGTTGCGCAGTCATCTCTCTCTCCGCCACGGTATCTTTCTGCATCTCTGCAGCTAATGCTTCAGCACGCTTCATCTTACCAACAGCAGCCGCCGAAATATCCTCCTGTTGAGCAAGCGATGACTTGAGCTCAAGGAGTTCTCGGTCTATACCTGCAGCATTTCGTAATGCGGGACTGTCGCTTCGAGATAGATCGTCAAGTCCAGCCTTGGCTTCTTCCAAACGGGCTTCCAACCCACGCTTCTCCCTGTGGAGAATGTCTCGCTCCGCATTGAGGTCATCAATGGTAGTTCGTAGGCTTCGGACCTGGGAGAGAAAACCAACAATCTTTTCTTGCGCATCCTTATGAGCATTGACAGCTTCATCTCGGGAAGCCGAGAGATCGGACAGTGTAGTTTCAAGTCGTGCCTTCTCTTTCGACCAGGTGGAGCTGTTGAGGACCTCGTCATCCCACTTGGACCGAAGTTCGTCCAGTTCTTCTCGTAATCTGGTGCTTTCGGCCTGCTTGAAGAGCTTCTCCTCTCTTGCAACATCCAACTCATTGGTGAGAGTCGCAAACTCGGCTTGGTACTTCTTGCGAGTTTGCTCCATGCTGGATTCCTTATCTTCGATATCTATGGCTCTCTGGCTTCTATAATCTTCGAGCTCATGCTGTAGACGCTTTCTTGCTTGTACAGCGGCTTCCAGATCGGCAGATGTGTCTTCTAGCTTCTCCTCATATCGTTGACCTTGTCGTTGGAGGTCCTCAATGGTAGCATCCATCTGCTTGCGCTCCGACATGATTTCAGCACATGTCTCTTCCACCTCCTTCGCCTGTGTTCTGGCAAATTGCTCTGCTCTTGATGCCTTGAGGACTGCGATCTCGGCTTGCTCCAATTTGCTAAAATACTCGTCTGCGCGGCTCTTGTACAAAGATAAGCTCGAAGTGACATCAACTAATTTAGAGGATTCAGCATCGAGTCGAATTTGGAGGTCAGCAAATTCTTGTAAAAGTTGGCTTCGACTAGCCGCATCCTGGTCTCTCTGGAGAGTCATTTCTTCCAAGTCAGATCTGGCATCTCTCAAGTCAACTTCCAAGGTTGCACGGGCATGTTTGAGTCCCTCAAGATGTTTCTTGGTATCAATCAGGTCTCCCACAGTGTCCTTATGAGCATGTAGAATAGATCTCCGGGATTCCTCTTGGCTGGTGAGGAGTTCAAAGAGTTCCTGGTGAGACTTGGTCTGAACATCGCGGATTGACAACTCGCCAGATTGAATGATTTTTTCTAGACCAGATACCTTCTTAGCTGAGTCGTCCAACAGCTCATGGAGCCTACTATTGGCTTGCTCCAACTTCTGAACACGGCGTAGTGATGGACTATCCTCAGACCATAATTCTTGGGATGGCGTCGATAGCTCAAGTTGACTTTGCAGGTGTCTGTTTTGCATCTGTGTCATTTGCAATTGGTTTTGTAGCTCTTCAACATCAGCCTTGAGATCCATGCGATTATTGAAGCTCAAGATATCAGCAGTTCTGTCCGATCTTGCCGAGTCTTGGGCAGCATCTGCTCCATTACTGCTGGGAAATCTTCTTGTAGGTGTAGAGACATTGGATTGGGCCCTGGCATTAAGCTTCTCTCGAAGACGGGTTGGAGACTGGCCAAATGGAGCTTGGTTTGGATTGATTTCCTCCAACCTAGGGCGGGTCGGAGATTTATCAGGAGATTCGCCAAACTCATCCTCGTATCTTCTTCGTAGATCAGAAAGTTGTGACTCTGCATTCGATCGTCCGGCAGACTGGACGCGGAGATTATTTTGTAGCTCCTCAATCTTCTGAGTAAGACTGGGAACGAGATTTGGCGACTTGTTGGGGCTACGATCGCTCCCTCCATCGTATTGCGGCACGGGTGGCGTTTTCATCTCGGGATCGACAAGCTTCATAAGCTCAAGAACCTCTTTCTCGCGAGTGTCAATAATAGACTGGAGCTGTCGGTTCTTTGCTTGCGCTTGAGAATGAAGTTGGCGTTCGTCCTCCAATTTGCGGTTAGCCTCGGCCAGTTGGCTAGTAAAATTCGACGATGCCAATTCGGCATTCCTATTAGCCTTGTGTTCGCGGGCAACCTCATGATTGAGATCTTCGAGACTCAACGAAAGCTTCTCCTTCTGTTTCTCAAGAGAGGCCACGGCCAATTGAGAGTCACCAAGCAGTTTGTTCAGCCGTTGGTTTTGCTCCTCCAACTTGGCTTTCTCTCGCTGAGCATTGAGCAGTTGACCACGAGATGTTTCATTTGCTTTGGAACCTGATCGCGCAAGCTCCAGCCCCTTCTGTTGAAGCTTATTGAGGAGTGCGCGGTTGTCGTTCTCGGAAGCCATAAGTCGGCTCTTGACTGTGTTAAGTTCGCGATCGAGTCTTTCTTTTTCCTTGTCATTCCGGATTCCGAAGTCTGTGGACTCGGCAATGATCTTATTAAGTTCTTTGACTTCCAAATTCAGACGACCACACTCCTCTTCAAAATACTTTGCTCGGCTCTGTTCCGCTTCCAAATCTTTGCGCACGCTAGCCTCACGCTCTCGGGCCTGTCTCGAGGCGGCTCGGTCGTTGGATAATTCTGCTTGGATTCTTGCTTCCTCGAGAGCAGATTTCGCCTCACGAAGTCGTCGAATTTCACTACGAGCCTCGTTGCGCTCCTTTTCAGCAGTAACACGTGCTTCCATGGCTCGTCGGAGAGTATCTTGTTGCACATAAAGCTCCTTCTCGATGATGATTTTGGATTCATTGAGCGCCTGGTACTTCTCCGTCAACTCGCGATATCGGTGCTCCGCAAGAAGTTGTACATCGTCTCTGGACTGGCACGCCTTACTCAGCTCCCTCTGCACTTCTGCGAGCTGTTCCTTGAGATCAGCGATTTGGCCTTCCAACATCCTTCTGTTCTGTCCGGCCTGGGCATCTTCCGTCAGTCGAGCCTCGAGAAGCTTCTTTGTGTCGGCTGCTTCACGTTCAAGCTGTTGTTTTTGAGATTTCATTGTGAACATCTCAGCCTGGACCTCACGAAGTCGATTGACGACCATGTCCTTCTCTTTGGCTAATGCCTTCTTCTCGTCGTCAAAGTTCTTGCGCTCATCTTCGTATTTGCGGTTGTCTGATCTCAGTACGCACAACTCACTCTCCTTTTTACGCACAAGATCTTCATAGCTAGTGGACGTTGCTGATAATTCAGAGATCTGTTTCTGAGCTCTTCTGTTTTCGGAAGATAATTCTGACTCCCTCATCTTGGTGGCCTGAAGCTCTTTATTGGCTTTTGCTAGCTTGATATCCAGATCTTGATCAATCTTGAGAAGCTTCCCTTCGAGATCATGAACCTTGCGGTCCTTGAGACTGAGCTGACTTTGAAGCATATTGACTTCTTGGGTCAGGCGAGACTCTTCTGCGCTTCTTGCGGATTGGCTTTGTGTTAAATCGTGAAGCTTCGCATCCAATTTATCCAGTTGTTCCGACAATTCCTGTTTCTCCTGCTCTAACTTCGAGATGATTTGACCTGCCTGTTCCAATTCCGCTCGCCACTGCTCAGATTTGTGTTCTGCCTTTTTCTTGGCTTCCAGGAGGTCGTCAAGTTGATCTTCCAGCTTTTCCTGATCGTCTAGAGCGCCGGCTAATTTATCGCTCAGCTCGGTTTCCCGCATCTGAAGTCGTTTGAAGATTTCTTCCTTATCCAAGGCCAGCGCACGTTCGCTCTCCAAGGTCTGCTGAATACGTTGCATTTCGGTGTGGGCATTCCTACGTTCCTCATCTAGACGCTGGCGCTCGACTGCTTCCTGCTTCATTTTATCGTTGAGCTTCAGAATCATCTCATCTCGCTTCTTGACCTCGCCAGAAGTTCGCGTTGCTCCAAGAAGGGGCTTCATCTTGGTCAGCAATCGCCACCAAGGATTCTCACAAAGATCTAGGTATATGTGGAAGTTTCGTTGAATGATTCTGGTGGCCTCTGCTCGGTATAAACGCTTGTGGGCAATTCGTCGCTGTATGAACCCTCGAGCAATGGACTGAAATCGAGACATGATTTCTGAAATTAGAGTATCTCGCTGCTCTTCTAATTCGGCCAACACACCTGCTCTGAAAAAGACCTTGGTGAGACCAACTCGAAAGAGAGCTTTGTCGAGTCCAAGTTTGTCCAACATGAGCTTTGCAGCCATTTGACCTTCCAGGTAGCCTTTTGGCATGTTCCTGCAGAGCACCTCGTACCGTTGTCGAAATTCAGGGAATGGGAGGCGATTGGGAAACCCGGTGCGGGCAATTCTAATTCCTTCGAGAACACCATTGCATCTCAGTTGGTCAAGCACAAGCGGTGCGCTAAGTTGTTTTGGCCGCTTTTTATGGTTGGGAATGATACATCGCACGAAATGGGGGTGCGTCGAGTGGAGTTGTGCCATCAAACTTGAGAGTTGTTCCTTGTGTCTCTGTGCGACTGTGCGGAAAAGTCCCCTCTTGACTCTGCTTCGAGTAGCCCCCACATCATCGTCAGGGTCAGCGCAATCCACAAAGAGATTCGCAACATGTTTGTCAGTGGAAGCGGCAAGTAATCTAGTAACGTTGTCATTCAATGGGTCCTTGTTCTTCTCTAGCCATCCCTCCGTAGAATATTCCACCTCGGCAGCGTAATGGGTGAGAAGGAATCCTTGACCAAGTCGGGACGGTCGATACTTTGGAGTCTTGCGATCCCATAGAGAGTGGAGTTTCTCCGTGAATGATTTATCGGTCGCTTTTGGCATTACTGAATCTTCGTCCAGACAGGAGAAAATACCAATAGGGTTGGGAAGCTCAATGAGGTCAATCGTAGGCTGAAGATCGTGCCCGAAATCAATGAACTTCCACTCTATCTGTTCTCGAGCGTATTCCTCCTGCTCAAGGACGAACATGTGATGGTTGAAAAATTGTTGGAGCTTTTCGTTGGTGTAATTAATACACAACTGCTCGAAGCTGTTTTCTTCAAAGATTTCAAATCCGGCAATATCAAGCACACCAATAAAATGGGAATCGTCCATGCCCATCCCTGATCTATCGAGCTGTCGATTGATCCGGGTGACCAAGTCGCCAAAGCTTCTCTCATAGATACCCTTGGACAATGCATCGATTGCAAGCCGGACTTGCTCAGGTGTCTGGACCTTCTCTACCCACTCCCGACCGGCCTTGACTCGAGGATGCAACAGACCTTTGAGGAAAGGCTCAACTGGCATACCGAGTAACTTACAAACTTTATCAGCGTGGGCACGAGCATCTGGGGCCAATCGGGCTTGATCGGCGCTCCTACTCTCATTTATGACGGCGATGTTTCCTAAATGAAGAACAGCAGCCACTGTTCGGAGTATCGAGACCTGCTCTTGCTCGGAGAAGCCCATGATGTTTAAGGCCTCAATTAATAGCTCCCATTCTTCTTTATCGGAGACGCCAGTAATCGTGTCATGCCCATCTCGCGTGTAAGCGAAATCTTCCACACCTTGATCGTCGATTAAAAAGTCGCGCTTTAGTTTCCGGTCCGCGCCCTTTATTAACTGATAGAACACATGGTAGTTTCGTTCATGCGCATTTAGTCTTACAACCCGTGACTTTTCGAGTAAATACCAGTCTATAAAGGCACCCGCAATGGTGCCTGTTCGTGTAAATTCAATTCTGATGAACTTTCCAAATCTGGACGAGTTATTATTTCGTACCGTCTGAGCGTTACCGAAGGCCTCCAATATAGGATTTGCGCGAAGAATCTGCTGAGAAAGATTCGAGTGTTGCTGTGCTGCTTTCTTGACCGGCGAGTCCGAGTGTGCCACTGCTGCAAGATACTGGATAACCTTTTTGGTATTTTCCGTCTTTCCAGCTCCAGATTCGCCAGTAACAAGAATACTCTGATTCTCCCCCTCATCCACCAGATTTCGAAAGGCTTCATCCGCCATAGCGTAAATATGGGGCTTCGTCTCTTCCCGACCCTGTCCTTTATACATATTGATGTACTCATTGGTGTAAATTGGCAGCGGACAATAGGGATTGATGGTGACCAAGAACAAGCCGGAATATGTGTAGATCAGGTCAGCCTGGTATCGCATGTGCAAGTTATGAACGACTGAGGCCTCGTTTAGATGGGTGAGCTCGGCCATATCGTCAGCCTTGTCGAACTTGGCGGGGTTGACTTTGTCAACGGTATCCGCATTGACTTCTCGTTGCTACCATTTTCGTTAGTGATGCTGAATTGATCTTGGGAGATGTGTTACCATACACTGCCATCGTCACACTGCACGAGTATGTGATTGTTTGCCGTTTCCTCTACAATCCAGCCCTTCACAAATGCCTGCTGCGGGTCCTTCAGCCAGACGTATCGTTTGCCCGAGAAATCATTCTCCCCCTCTATTCCATTAACGGCGTCGGGGCGTCGCATCTCTTCGCTTTTTATGAATGGAGGCGCAAACGTACTCGAGGTCGAGGGAGTGGTTTTCGAGTCTGCCCGGGTTCGGTTGGTGATACTCCGGATGGCACCCGCGCCAGCGAGGGACGAGGAAGAAAAGGATTGATTTCGGCCATGGGCGAGGGCCGTGGGAGGAGTGTGACTCCCCGACAGCGGTGATGCTATCATCGATTTTGGTCGGCCATTGGGAAGTGCTGGGACTGGTGCTGGGACTGGTGCTGGACCGCTCGAGGGCGAGTTTCCACGGGTGAAGGGATTATTCCGGACATGTCCTGTATTTGAGGCCATTTTATCAGTCGTTCATGTACCTATACCTCCAGCTGTGCCGAGTCCTCAAGGCAAAGGATTTGGTGTATTAGGGTGTTTCTTTCCAAGACGTCAACCAGGAAGCCATAAGATCAACAGTGGAGGAAAATTATGGTGGAATGGAAATCAACAATCGCAGAAAGCAAAGCAAAGGCGATGCGCAGCTCGTGAATGCACCAAAGAACAGGACCGTAGGAATGCGATTGCAGATGCAGATTCGCAGGAAATAGTGGTGGTCGGTTGGCAGAAAGTTATGCAAATGGTTGGTGCTGGGGCTGGTACTGGTCCTGGTGGTGCTGGGCAACAGATTAAACATTGGAGACGCGAATGTAAATAAACCGATCGTTGCTCCTGCCTGTCCTGACAGAATGACAGGGTGACAGGGTGACAGGGTTCTGAGTGGCTGACCAGCAACAAAAGCGGCATGTGAGCTCCCCTCGTCACAGGTCAACTTGGACGCGACAGGGAAAGCTTGGCTTGTAGCTTATCTTGTTTTATCTTCTTAAAAAAACATGCAGATAGGGGAAGGGTCATCCTAGAAGAACATAGAACACTTTCATTGCGGAATCTTTGGCTTTATTGAGCAATTCCTTCCAAGCAGAAACTCTGCTACACAACAAGAGACAGGTGAATCGGTTGCCGCCTTTAAGGTCCAGCATTAACAGGCCTCATAGGCGCAGCGTCGGCGTTGGCTGGAGCTAGACTAAAAACGGCTAGTAGCAGACTTGAGGTTAAGTTTTGGTGGGTGGTCAGTGGTTACTTTGTTAGCTACTCTCAACTCCACCTCAAACTTCTGGTTGAGTTCTTTCAATTCCCATCACCACACTGCACCGACGTCTGCACCTGCACCTGCACCTACACTGCAACTTCCTCACAGGACATTGACATCATCATCCTGATCTTCATCCTTGGCTTCAAGTCTATTGTGTCTGCGGTGCTTCTTTGGTGTCGCGCATCTGCATCTGCATCGGCCTCTAATCTCTCCCATCTCCCCTCTACCTCTCCACTGCTACCGATTCACGGTCTTACGCGCATCAACACCCACACCCACACTCGTCCTCATACCTCTGACCTTTGCGTCTACCCTCTTTCCTTCTTTGCATCATGTCCAGCGAGCGAGTCTACTGAACATTGTCATCTGAACTGCAGTCTCTGTCCTGCATCTGCGCGTTTTTCACTAATCCTTTGATTGTTGCGCTGCGCAGCGCAGAAAGAGCCATCTAGGCCACTGCCACTCCATCTCCAATCTACCTAGGTATCTACCTGCCACCTACATATACCTCGCATAGTGTTGATCTCATCACGATATGGCGGAATACCCCTATGGCGGCAATTATGGCGCCCAAGAAAATGTCAATTCCAACCCCAACCCCAACCCCAACCCCTCGTACCTCCCTCCCACCTGGCCAGCTCAATACATGCAGGCACAGCCCGGAGATGCTGGTCGCATAGGACAGGCACAGGGCAACATGGCATCAAACTTTGATGGATCTATGGCAGGGTATAATTCATATCCACCACCTCCTCCGCCAGCTTTTAATCTGGCGACGGTGGCGCCTCCGATTTTTCAAGGTTGGAATCAAGATTCTATGCCATTGCCTCCCTACAATCCAAATAATAACCAGCAGTATATGGGTCACGCTGATTCGAATGCTCAAAACGCACATCACAACTCCCAGTACTATGCGTCGCATCCGACTTCTGCCTACCAACCGAACCATCAAGTCATGCCACCGCTTTCTCAGCCATATGATGAAGGTGAGGTGAGCGAAAATGAATTCAGAAGCGCTTCTCATCAGATGAACAACCATGGCACCAACCAGAATCAATTGGATCGAAATCGGAATGGTTATGGCCATCACCCACAGAATTCTCCTTACAATGCAGCCCAGGGTGCACAAAGAAACGATCGCGCTGGTATATGTCCTCTACCCCACCAGATGGAAGCACTTTGCTAACTCAGCCCCTAGCTAATGGTTATTCTGGTCCTCATCGAGATTCTCCCCAGTCCAGAGTACAGTCAACAGATGCGTATTCTCCGTACGGCTCACCAAAGATAGCTGGACAGCAAGCGAATGGAAATAATTCCTCACGTTCCAATACCAATAAGCATGCACAAGGCTGGGGCAATGAGGGCTCCCGAGACAAGCCTGGAGGCAAAAAGAACACTGCTGCTCCCAAAGTCTCTGAGACCCAACCAAATGCAAACGCTGCTGGCACCCCGACAAGCGCGGATACTGCCAAACAGCAACCCTCTCTCCATCTTCCACCGCCATCCTCAGCTCAAGTGCCCAGTGCCACTGTGAGCAAACCACTCGCTGATAGTCGTAAGAAGGCTGAAAGTGCAGTCTTGAATCTCTTGCCTTATGGAATCCGATATCAGCACTACGTTGATGAAGGTATCAAGTCAGATTTGGTTGGCTGCATCTTTGATGATCTTCGGCAGCCACGAGGACCAATCAAGGCTGGGGTTGCTGAGAGTACGAGTACATCAAATGGTGCTCCAATGGCAAGTCAACAAGCATCGAATGGCGTAGCTGCCCCAAAACCAAATCAAACAAATGGCAAAGATGTTAACGGCGCGGGTCTGCCAAAACTCTCTACTTCTCAGACGCCCAGTGCCCCATCCACTGCGGCCATGACAGAGAAAGAGCGCACCCTTCAATCAAAGATGGAGGCTCTTCGAAAGTCGCGAGAGGAGCGCGCGCAGAAGGCGGCCGCCAAGGCAAAATCACCCACAGATACAAATTCTCCCACTCTCCCGGCCCCAATTCAGTCGCAATCGCAACCACAGCCATCTGTAGTGGCACCGCCTGTCGTTGCGCCGGTCTCTAAACCTGAGCCACCGCCTGTTTCTTTGCCTGCTCGCCCAAATTTTGCCGTCCCCTCCCAATCGCCTCAGCAACCTGTCAATCCTACTCCCAAGGCACCTGTCATACCAGGCCTTTTCTTGTCTTCGTCCATCTCAAGTCCTGCACCTACTGTCGCCAACTCGAGCAAGATGACGACTACGGGCCAAATCCCAAGTAATCATCGTAAACGTCCAGTCGCTTCTGATTTCGAGCAACCTATTCCTCCCATGTCAACCTTCAAGCGACCATTCGGCCATAGTCGCAATGACCAGCTTTTGGTCATTGATGTTAGTGAGGACGAAATAGACTCCGATGAGGAGGATGTCGAGATGGATCTTGAGTCCCAAGCTGATCAAGATTCGCCTTCTCAACCTCTCCGAAAGCTTTCCGAAAATCGATCTGGCACAGGTATGAGTTTACCAGGTCTAGTTGATTCTTCACGTAAGCCTTTTAGCTCGCCACCCAACTCGGCAACGAACACCCCTCCCGTATCTCAAAATGGAACCAAGTTCACCATTGGACGACCAGAGGTTCTACAACGCAAGGAAAGTGAAATCGAACAATTGAAGAAAAAGATTGCGGAGGCAGAAGCCCGAAAGAAAGCTCGGCAAACACCAACTGGAGGGCAAACCCCTCGCGAAGCCAATACCCAAAGTGGTGATACCAAGGGGGCCAGCGGTATTGCTAACCTCGCCAGCAAGGTTGAAGCTTCGATGAAGATGCAACAGTTGATTAGAGTTGTTGACGATAAGGTAAACTCCGACCAGCAAAGATTGGTTGAAACACATGTTGCAGAAGCTGCAAGTGTGGCGGAATTCAAGAAGAAGGAAGAAGAGAGCAAACGACTTCGTCTGCAGAAAATTGCGTCCGATCTTCCGCTAGTTGATGCACAAGTCCAACAAAGTCAGTCGAAACTTGAACAGCTGCGAGCCGAAATGACAAGACTGGAATTGGAGGTGCAAAAGAACCTTGAGGCCAAGCGTCAAATGGCAGATGAAATGGAACGACTAGGCAGAGAGACCGAACACCAACTCCAAGCACAGAGAGAAAAACTGCAAGATCTAACCGAAGAGGAGATAGCTGTCAACACTGGTAAGTCGTCGTCTCTCCTTGACAAACTATTTCACCCTTCCCGATGATTTCTATTTCTCCTCCCCCACATACCATCTGAACCCTATACTTACTTTCCAGCCCCATCTCAACCATCGAACACTGGTAATTCCAGCGTAAACCTTGAAGCTACCACGAATGAGGACCAACCACAAGAGGCGGCCCAAGAGGTGGCACAATCTTCTGACGAGATGATGACAGACGCCCCAGAAGAGCCCAATGTTTCAACTTCATCACGCACTTCCAACGACCCCCAGGAAAGTCAAGAAAAGGTTGAAACAGAGACAACAGATGTAGATTCATCTTCAGCACAGCAAGCAAGTGACCCAAAGCAACAAGTATCCGCTGATCAAGCTCTCGAGGCCGCCCTGCAAGAAGCAGTACGAGCCGAGGCTGATTCTCATGCTCAGGCTTATAGCGACACCGAGATGAAGAATTCGTTCGCCCCTGATCCAGACCAATTGGCTCCGGAGTCAAGTCCAAACCAAGCCGAGAAGGAGACATGTAGCCCAGAATACACTCCTGCTCTCGAGGGTACCACTACGGAGGACTTGGATGGTGAATCAGATATATATGAACCCCCAGAGGCCACGCCACCAGTTGATACACCCCCGCCGGTTGAATCTCCCCCTTTCAGCCCTGCCCCCCCTGAGGTCATCAGACCTGCAGATGTAGATGAGCCGATGCAAGTTAGTGATGCAAGTGAAGACCAAGATGTACAGGATCTAGCATTACGCGACACGCCACTGAGGGCTGTTGTGCCGCCAAGCTTAGTAAAAAACACCCCTTCCTTCCGTTTCTCAGACCGCTAACCATAATATAGAGCAATGTTGAAGATAAGCCTGAGCAAACCCAGATCTTTACACCCTATGAAAGCCCTCTCAAATACTTTCGCGCCTTCCGATTCCATCCTAATTACAAACAGGAAGTTGCAGGAGGATTGCGATCGCTAACGTTCAGCAACAAGATTGACCCACTGAAGGAATTCTGCCGCTTTGAGTTGGCTGGTGGAGTCTGCAATGACCACACCTGTGAATTCCAACATTTTAGAGAAATCGGACTCCCTGGTGCGTGGGTTTTTTGAAGCCAGCAGCGTAGGCTGGCTTAATCCTCAGTATTCCCTCCGTCCCCCCAGCTGACTTTTGATTAGATGACGCTGTTTTGACTACCTTGGGTAGCCCTGACCAATTCAGCGCTGAGCAAAGAGAAAAGTTCTGCGTAGGCTTACGAGGAGTCTTAACCGATCTACGAGCCAGAAAGATCAAGGACTTTGAGGTGATTGCATCGGAGATCATTGCCCATCGTGCCCAATTTCTCGGCGACAGCTCCAAGGTACTCAATCTTGAAGACACCACTATCTAAAGAGACAACGCCCACTCGCTGCATCGACTTGTAAAATTACTAGATACATATCTATTTCCTTTGTTTGTATGAAAAAAGTTCTAGGAGCTCTTTTTCTTTGCCTCTTTTCAATACTTCGCTATACATTGGTTCCAGTATCCCTTTCTTTCGAGAAAACCTTTGGATCTTTGGACTTTTGTAGAGGCCCGAAAGCATCGAAGTCGAGGAGTTTCAGGGCAATGGCGCATGGAAAAAATAATGATGTGAACAGCATGCATGGTCACTGGTGTTTATTTGAACTTTACGATACCCTATTGATCGGAATAATCTTTTCTTTTCCTTTTCTTTCCAGTCTCTCCTGAGGGAGTTAGCTGATGAAGATGTACGTTCTGCGACGACATGGCCGACCTTTTTCCTCGAAAAATAGCTATTCTGTAGATTAGCAGATGTCGATAGACGATAATGCAAATAATTGTTTCTTTCTCCATGAAAATTTTGCTTTCTCTGGTGATGTGAGACTCGCATTTAGGTACTCATCTCCTTTGAATCCAGCGACAGAAATTATCACGTGAGTGTAAACATCCAATCAAAAGCCTCGATGCAATCTGGGTTTCCTCAAATCACGACATCCACGCCTTGATTCTCGTAATCTCACTAACCCCAGCCGCGCATTCATACATCCATACAGCATCGTGGATAATTCGCCATCCAGGCTTGTTATTGGTGAGTATTCAAGAGTGAAGCAGTGACGTTTGTTTCATTGGCTAGATAAGGAAATGTTCGAGAGCGAGGCGTATGCGAAGCGAATGATGGAAAAGAGAACTTTGTGATGCTTATCCTGGTCTTGATGGGAGTTTTGAGGGGTTCCGTCATTGAGAAGTGGGTATTGCAACATCGGGGAATGATGCACATTGCATTGCATTGCATGTGGGATGGGTGACCATGGGGTTACTTTAACTGGGATGTTTTTCCTTCCTAGTTCATCTTTTCATATGCTTTGTTTGTGGGATTCTAGAACTATACTATTATCTTGTGCTCCTACTACATACTTCGTACTACGCTCCATCATCTATCAGCTATTTTCTTGTGTTCGTATTCGACCTGAAGGGACATGACGACCCAACCGAGCACCGACGAGAAAAAGCAGGCGGGGAATGATAGCACTTCTCTTGATTCGGTTGTGAATGTCGAGACCGAGGGGATTAGTGAGAAGGCGCTTTTGAGGAAGTTGGATTGGAAGTTACTTCCTGGATTGACGCTGCTTTACTTGTCGAGCTTTTTGGATAGAAGCAATGGTGTGTTTCCCCTCACTTCTTGTTTTTCCCTCTCGCCTTCCTATGTTCGTCTTTTTTTGCACACCTGAAGGATCTATTATGCTAAAATTCCTCATATAATCAACTTCATTGTCCCAAATAGCTTGGGTTGATAAAGATATATTGCTTTTAATTGTCCCAAATCGCTCGCACATCTACTTTAGTTGTGCGAGGCTTTTAGGATAATATTGTTCTACCCTAGGTGTGATTAAGTAATGATAACCTCTCTTATCGTTTTTGATGTTTTGAAAGTTGAGTTGAGTGAGCGCTGACTGACTGATAATACATAGTTGGCAACGCGAGGATTGATGGCCTCGCTACGGATCTACATATCACGGGAAATTAGTACTTGTTCACGTTGACGATTTATTTTATTGGTTATGTATGTGACCATAGGGTAGAGGATGGGAGATGAGGCTGATGGATGAACACAGGTGCTTTTTGAGATTCCTTGTAATATCGTTTTGAAGCGGACGACGCCCAAGTGAGTTTTTCGGCTTTCTTCTTATTTGGGCTAACCTGACATCTCACAAACCGATTCTATCATGATATTTACACTTCACTAACTTGATCGGGCTTTCAGGATATGGCTTCCTACTTTGATGCTAGCATGGGGTATCGTGGCAACGCTCATGGGAGTTTCTCAAAATCTTGCGGGGTTCTTAGTAGCTCGCTTCTTTTTGGGTGTTACGGAGAGTGGTTTATTTCCCGGTGTGGTGTTTTACTTGTCTATGTGGTACAAGCGAACTGAGACGCACTACCGAGTTGCACTTTTCTTTTCTGCGGCAAGCTTAGCTGGTGCTTTTGGTGGTATTCTCGCTTATGGGATTGGGTTTATGAGAGGAACTGGGGGGCTGGGAGGTTGGAGATGGATTTTCATATTGGTGAGAGCAACTCGAATTTGGGAGCACAGCACGTGCTAACTGAATTATAGGAAGGGCTCTTGACAGTTGTCGTTGCTGTCTTCGCTTATTTCTTTATCCACAATTATCCAGACACAGCACCATTCCTGACCGACTCGGAACGATCATACATCCACGCCCGTCTCAAAGGCGACTCTGACGCAACCAACGACGAAAAGTTCACCTGGGGAAACGTCGCCTCCGCCCTGAAAGATTACAAATGCTGGATGTATGGACTAGGCTTCCACACCATGTCCCTCCCTCTCTACACACTCTCCCTCTTCCTCCCCACAATCATCCGAGAGTTAGGGTACAGCGCGGCCAACGCCCAACTCCTCACCGTCTCTCCCTACGCTTTCGCCACAATCCTCACGGTCATAGTAGCAATCCTCTCTGAGAAAACCAAAAAACGCGCACCCTTCATCCTAACCTCTTCCTCACTCGCAATCATCGGGTACATAATCCTGCTCTCCACCAACAAGAGACCCGGCGTGTCATATCTCGGTACCATATTCGCAGCAGATGGGATATACCCCTCAACCGCTATCGTACTTTCCTGGCCCGCAGCCAATGTTTCAGGACAGAGCAAGAGGGCAACGGCTACCGCAATGACGATTACGATTGGGAACCTCGGAGCGGTATTGGGGACGCAGTTATATCGACCGAAGACGGCGCCGCGATGGTTTCTTGGACATGAGTTTGCGTTGGGGTATTTGTGTGCGAATTTGTTGAATACGAGTCTTTTGTGGTGGCTTTTGACGAGGGAGAATAGGCTGAAGAGGGAGAGGGCTGTGAGTGGGGAGACGGGTGGAGAGGGGACGGTGAGGAGTGATGAGGATGTTAGATTCATTTTTCAGACTTGAGAGGCTTGTGGGTTGGGCTTTTGTTGTTTTGTGGTTTTTAAAGGGGGACTCGCGATGAGATGTTTTATGTACTGTATGTGTGGAAATGAAATTCAACTCATTACTATACAAATATCGCGACTACCGACTCAAATGCGCTCATGTCAGACTCTAGAGACACGGAATATTCCCAATTCAATAATGGTATCTCTTGTAGTCAGAGTCCGAATGTTCCTTAGTAGAACTATAATCTGTTATTGACTTTTGAATTAAGCTTGTTTAGATTCTTCCTGTGCATTTTATAGATTTCTTTTACATAAGATTGTGGCCCTTGAGGAGAAAAGCTATTACCCCTTATAATTGTAGTAAAAAGGATAAAGGAGATGTTTTTATATCACGTGAGGACCACAAGAGCTAGCGGCGGGGGCAGGAATCATCAACAATTTCATATTTCCTGCCTGAGAGCAGGATGCGTACGAGTCCTAGGACTCTCTTTTTCTCGCCCACCACCATCCCCATTTGTACACCACCATTAGTATCCCTACTGCTGTACTACTGTTGTAGCCAGCCTTTTTGTTTCTGTTTTTAGGAATAGGAGTAGAAAGAGCGTGTAGCACCCTGGGGCTCTCCAACCCCCAGGTGCTGGTCCCATATGTGCCTCCTTTAGCAGTGACTAGGACGAACGTGAACATAAAAAGAGGGAAATAAGGTTATATAGAATTGTTTTCCAAGGAAAATATTAGACAAAAGCCTGGATCATCCAGGCTGGATGTTCACTGGAGGAAGAGCATCTGATGCCAAAGCTGCAATTGTCTATTCAACATGAGACAAGAGAGAGAGGGGGGAGGAGAGAGGGGGGAGGAGAGAGGGACTGCTTTGGTCTTCGAGGCTGCATCAGGCTCAAGAAAACTTGTTAGTTCTCTTGTAACCTCATCACCCCATTACCATCTCACCTAACCAAGCCCCATCTCCCATTTATGCCCCGCACCCCTGAATGCAGAATGCAGAAGGGAAACTTGTATTAAAGTGATTTTTGAAGTTTCTGATTTGTGAAAATTGTATACTGTGATAAGAACCTGTCCTTTTCTAGGTAGTAAAGGCTTTGAACTTGTCGAGACCAGAGAATAACATATTAGGATATTACAAGGCATATCAAGTGCTACCAAGGCGAGGAAGCGTTCTTCGTCCAACCGTGATTGAACGATAGGAGGGAAAATACCTGGTACTAGCGTGAAACTGACGTATGCTACCATATCAAGCATCAAGGCGAAGTACATAAGCCTCTTTGGTAGCTGGCTCAACTCCTCAGCCTAAGCCACTGGTTGTTATTTCAACTATAACTACAACAGCACCTTCGTCTTGAAGGATATCTGGGCTTTTCAAGAACTGTTGCAGGATATTTGCTATTCACTCACTACTAGCGCGGCACTAGTACTAGCGTCAACCCTGTGTATTTAGTGCCCACCTGTACCTTACTTTTACAATTGAAGAGTTTTACCTTTTCTATCGAACAACAAAAACCACCATCACCACCGTCGACTAAGAAGTGATTCTCAGTTGACAAATCACCACTTTCAGCCTTTTCACCATTCCAAGCCCAAGATACCATACCATCCAAAAATTCACCATGGCGATAGTACTTTTCCCTCTTGAGGTTCTCGAGTATATTGCTGAATATGCGATGCCAGAAGACTTCGAAAGCTTTTCTATGACCTGCAAGTCATTTTATGCTGCTGGTGGGAAATTTCGCGAGAAGCACAATCTTCTGAAGAAGCGATACCGACACTTCAAATACGACGAACGGCAATTCCCCTGGTACAAAGACGTCGAGGCTTATGCAACCCGTAAAAAGGGTGACATCTTATGTATTTCACCTCAACAACTCCTTCTACAAATCTGCGAAGAGCCATTGATTGCACGTTATATTATCACGGCCGATTTCAACCTACGAGATGAATTTCGAGGGAAGGACCGGTCATTTGTACTGGAGCAGCTCGAATCATCGTCTTTTCTGCCTGAATTAATGCAAAGTTTGCCCTGGGTTAAAGCTGGTCAAGCTGGTCTCTTCGACGTCAAGGACTGTTTGATACAGGAGTACCAATATGGGGACAATTTCGACCAAGGATTAAGGCAAAGCTACGTCTTGGCGACCACTATTCTCCTCACTTTACTCCCGAATGTGATTGAGCTGGTTATCAATGCGCGAGATCATACTTTATTCTACCACGACTTTGACTCCGAGTATGGTCCTCGAATTCTCACCATTACGTGGGAACTCTTATGGTCGATCGTGCATACGGCCAACAGGGACAACAGCCTCGCCGCAAGTCTCTGCAAACTGGATTCTTTGACTTTGGACACACATAGATACGACGGTCTTCTTGGTTTCTTAGAAGCCACGCCACTCTTGTACATGGAGCGACTAAAGAGTTTCCATATGGCAAACATTACGACATCAGTTCATGAGTATATGTCAAACGCATGGAAAGATTACGAAATGCCTGCAACTGCAAACTTCGGTACTAATCTTCAGGCAGCTACCTTCCACAGGATCCGTTGTAGCGATTCTGAACTCGGCGAATTCTTGTCCAAACTGCCTCAACTGTGGAAACTCGAATTGCTCGATCTAGGCTACCTACATGAGCATGACTATAGGGGCCCTATTTGTCAAGACTATATATATGTCAGCTATTGAGAAATCGGCTAGAGAAAAGCTTGAAGAGGTTTCTCTGGTGTTCGGAATTGCCATCTCTTCTCGGAATGGAGAAAGAGGCATCATGTCCTTCACATCATTCCAGAAATTGAAATCATTAACACTAAGCTTTGATGTATTCTTCATTCCGTGGAAAGGTGGTATCTGGCTTCAGCACGATTTCTATGAATTTTCAGATGAGAGCGAGAAAGAATTGGATATCAGTCTCATTAACACGGAAGTTACCAGACCCACATCTGCTGAGGGTCCTGATCAGGGATATACGTTGACTGCAATTCTCGAGAATCAGGAACTAGAATCTGTTACAAAGTCGCACTTGCTCAGCGGCCGTTTACCTCCAACAATTGAAAATGTCACCATTCGTGTCAACGGTCTTTTAATCTGCGCCGAGGCATTGAAGTGCTTTCTTACGGACATGGATCAAGACAAGAACGAACAGCTGCCAAGGCTGAATAGCATCACGTTACAGAACGAAGATACTAATGGGATGTTACCGTCGATGCTGGAGAGTATGACAAAGGAGCAGCGGGAGGCTTTAACCTGGTTATCTTCTTGTGATAGGATCAGGTGGACAGACGAGATGGGCGGGGATGTGAGCACTACTCTTGAAGATATCTTGATGGCTCAAAATTCATCCAATTATGAGCTCGGTGAGACGTCATCTTGGTTCTAATTAGGATGGCGAGTTTTGCAATTGGTAGCCAGTGTATTCGCTGTATTGACTACAGGGAGAGATCTAGACGTGCATCCGGGAACAACAAGGGATGGAGAAATAGGAAATTACATCAATCGAGAAATGCTCGATTGCTAGATATTACATCAATTTCATACAATGGTCATTCAAACTTTGCTGGCCCCAGCGAACATAACGAGTTTATGAAAATAAAACGTTTTGGCCTTATTCTTGCTAATAGTCGGTGCGTCCTGTTTCTACGCTGTCGCTTGATTATACTCTGCGTGTCAGAAGTAAAAATACTGTACACAAGTCGATATGTTGTTTTTATTGGTAGGCGGTAATTATTTCCACTGGTTTTCGAGAGCGGATATTTGATTCTAGCGGGAACTTATATAAGTTCAACTCCAATCACTCGTTGTGTGTTCAGCGACATCATTTTAGATCCCATCACAAGCTAGCAAGGCATGTCCAAGGAGATGATAGTCATGTGTTTAATATATGGGAGGCTAGCAATGCCTGAGCCGTATCTAAATTAATTTCACCACATAGCTGCTCCTAAGTATTAATTTGATATAACTTGGACAGAATTGGTCCTTAGCCTATATCATATCAAAACCATCATTCCTCGACAAAGACTCATAATGCTCAAGCGCTAATACCACAGAAACAATTTTCTTCAATTCCTCTTTACAGAGAAAGTGTTTGCCGTAAAAACTCCATCCGGATCCGCCAAAGCCCTTGATTTCTTCAATCTTTCATACTTTTCTCTGCTGTCGTAGTAGCAGTTCCAGACTTTATCCAAATCATACTCACCATGGCTTCCCCAAAGTACCCTCTTATCCTGCTTGCAAAACTTCCCATTGGCACCTATTCCCTCCGCCATATTTACATCATGCCAATCTTCGGCAACCTGCTTGTGGCCCTTATCATAGAAACAATCCACAGTTGCACAAATGGTGCTGTCTCTGAAACTATGAGACGTTCCATTATTCGCGTTCTTGGTGAAAGCGGAGTTCTTTCCGCCAAAATTCTGGAATTGTGCCGAGACCCAGAGTTTGTTGGCCTCGGGTTTGATGATCCCGTCGAGCCGTTCGACAATCCAGTCTACCCAGCCATCTTGGGCGAGAGTCTTAGAGTCTGTGACCTGGGTGCTCTTCACGTATGGATGGTCAAATTCACGGACGTTGCGGAAGATCCATTGGGCTGTGAGCTCGGACATAGGTTTTGTCTTAGCTGGAAGGTTGAAAAGTGACCCTTCTCGTATACGATCGAACCACGCCATATCTGGCTTGTCTTCTTTGGATAATGGGACCCATTGTGCGTAGACAATGATGGAACGTGGCCAGAGGGGTATTCCATCCTTGCCGAAAATTTCGGGATGTTCCTCTCTCATTTTCCCATCTGCTTCGGGGAACCAATCGAGTAATCCGAAAGATGATGAAAGCACTGAGATACAGAAGTCGTAGTTTCCAGGGAAATTCTCATTATCTGACATCTCAACCAGCTGATTCAAGAGTCGCGTGAGGATTTGTGGGTTGTAGAGATAGATGGATTTGAGACCCCTGGATCCAACGTAATCTTCGTCACGATAGGCTTTGATGGTGAAATGTGTGATGACACCAAGATTTCCTGGACTTCCACCTATAAGAGCGTAGAAAAGATCAGGGTCGTTTTTGAGTGTGACTTCTTTGAAATTTCCTTCATGGTCGACAATTTCCACACCGATAACTTGGTCTCCAAACAAGCCAAAACTACGACCTAGCTGCCCGTAGCCTCCGGTCTGTACATGGCCACCCAGATGAACATTCACACATTGTCCATGTGGGACGAAAAGTTTGTTCTTTCCCATATACTCGTTGAATTCTCCAAGTGCCCAAGATACGCTGGTTCGTACATAGGTCTGGTTATCAGATCTGAATATTCGACGATCATCTGGACCGCGGAACCTAAAAACGTTAATACGAGTCAGTCCTAGGTACTTGGACCAGGAAAGGTACTTACGTGTTCCTGAGATCGATTTGAATGTTAGGAGCAATGGTCGAAGAAGCACCGGAGTATTGATGGCCTCCTGTTCGGATGGCTACGGCAATCTTTTGCGACTTGGCGTAGAGAATAGTTGTAGCGATGTCTTTTTTGTCTAGTGGATAAACGATGAGTGCTGGTTTGATTCTGTTGTCTTTGATATAGCTTGAATACGCATACTGGTATTGACGCTGTGGGTATTCAGAGGCGTCAATATTGAATTGTTGACCAGTGAGACCGGCGATGGTCACCATCTGGTTAGTCGTAATGACACTGTTGCCCCTGGAAGTAATCCATCCTTTCAAGGTTGACAAAATGGAGCCCATTTTGTTGAATATTCTTGTTGCACAGAAACTGCCATCAATTGAGAGGTCATGGATGGGCCTATATACATATAAAATCATGTTTCAGTAGGCCTTGTGACGTGGCGTTATTCATATACATTGAGCTGAGATACGATGCGCCACTGTGTAGGTTCCGCCCTGCTGAGAGTCATCATATCTGACCATAAGCAAGGCTGTGATATACACCTGTGGCCGTAAAATCACGTATCGGAGCTACCGGCATTAGCTGAACGAGATGAGGTCGTACTTAATATGCTTTCAATATTTCGTGGTCGCCAACAGGGCCATAATGGGGAGCACAAAGGGTGGCTGGCTCGCTTAAGTATCACCATGGCAATGGGGATGTCCAATTGCGTTTTGGTGAGACGCTCGCACAAACATGTAAGCCAGCATTCCAAGCCCACAAGGCTGAAAACCCCCCTGCTCAATCATCACCGACTGCATACCGACTGAGTATGATTGCCTGAGGATGTAGGAAGTCGTACTCGAGTCACTGCCCCTTTTTATCGTCCCAACAGGGAAACTGTGCTTGATTGCCTTGGTCGCTGCTTCCTCTTCTTTGGAAGTGAGTATTGGAAAAGGCGAACTGGTTGTCCACGTTTATAAACAATTGGAGGTGAAAAGAAACGGGCCACCCTTAACTAGTTATGCACAGAGCAGCATGTAAAAGACCAATCGCCTTGTTGACTTAATTTATCGCTGTCGCCATAAGAAAGATCTCTTGATCTCTTGACAAGTCTTACACGCGACCAACGAAATTATTGTATTTGAACATAAAAACCTACTAACATGTTAGAATGTTTAACTATCGCCATGCTTTCTTGTGTCTGAAAGTAATTGAGTTGCAGTAAAGATCCAAAAAAAAAGTATATCGATGTAGTCTTGTAAATATATGCCCAACGGCTAGGACTCTCAGAACATGGAGATAGAGGGAAGGGAAGAAATGCGGCATAGCAATATTGAAATGACACCGTCTGTGCTGGGTTTCTCGCGTGTAACACATCAGCTACTAAGCTGCAGAAGGATCCCAGAACGAGATACAGACGCAGGTGGACGTGAGACAAGGCCACGAAATCTCATCGGGACCGAGGCAGCGAGGTTGCTGGCTTTATTCATCATAACCGACTTTAAAGGGAAGGCAGGAAATATGGAATTAAACTGATGAGTCCGGTTGTGCAGACCTAAAAGTAGGACAGCCATCCGTCATACCAACTTGTCCGGGAATAGCTATCTTTAACACATACCGACCTTAACGCCATTGGCTTCAGATGAAGAAAACCACCAGACAGAACAGAGTGGTAGATTGTTTTCCAGAGTAAATGCACCAGGCAACCCCTCCTCGATGTATGCTTTTCCTCTTTACGGCAGGAGCTCGGAAGCTTAAATTGAGTTTATGATGCAATTCTTCGACGTCCTTCGCTTACAAATACCCTCCAATTATACGATATGTCCAGTCCAAATCAGCATAACCAGCCTTGTGCACATATGTCTGTATGTTACTACACTTTGCCCCGAGAATATTTGTATCTGCACATCCTTCGACGCGTTACAAGCCCTTGGACTTCCTTTATGCCATCGCGCCCAAGACTCTCGAGAAATAGGTCGATTTCGTTTGCATCAGCGACGTCCCAACATTGTTCGTAAAATTGGGTAGGAAACGATATCCAACAAAAGACATGAGTACATTTGAAATGTAGCGTTTTGTCACCGAAGATAGACATTGCACGACTTTCGAAAAATTTGGAGGAAGGGAAGGATTTCCGACCAGCGCAGGTCCACGATGTGAGTTCTAGGTCGAGGATCGTGCGGCATTGCTGACCCGGGCTTTGCATGGAAGCTTGGGATGCAGGAAGTAGTTTGCTTTGGTAAAGCAAACCTAAATCTCCTGTTTTCCCATCGTTCCTCGTATAAAATGTTCAAGGCGCAAGAAGAAGCTCTCTTTGCCTCTGCTCAGAAGCCTAGAGGATTGTCCAAGGCTTTTTTGAGTCCCAGTCAACAACCGAGTTGAAAGGGTCGCGCGATCGATACATTTCTTCCGATAGAGGCATGGCAATCTTCGAGGATTGACGGGAGTGGTGGTCTTCGCTTGTTGATTAATTGGATGGAAAAGACAAACTCCTCACTTCTATCTGTCGAGATGAGGGGATTCGAAATCTCGGAAGAATACGTTGTTCCGGTCCGATGTTTCATCCTAGTTCTCAATGATCTTCAACGTGATCTTCCGCAGGACCAGAAGCGAGGAGAAAGGGGCAGGGTTGATTAAGTTGAAACGGCCCTTTCCTTTATATATCGTCCCAGGCGTAATAAATGTAGATTTTCCGTGGGTTTCTACCCTGTTGCCTACATTTGTTTCGCCTGGGACGAAGTACGCTCCTGTTCATACATAAACGGTTATCGCTACCCGATTCAGCGATAGACACAGCGGAAGCCTCGGCCATTGCCCATCTGCCTGATTTTCTTATTGCTACGGTACTCGTAGTGTTATTCCCAAGGGACTGACTTGGACCTATATTGATATGGATTTCGTGACGATGTGGGATGTAAGTAATGCGCAGTGAACAGCAGGGATATATCATATGCCTTTGAGTTGTACGAGTATAGACTATTTAATATTCAGAATTGCTAGCTAGTACTTTACATCTTTGAGTACACTCTTGGTTCTACCGGACCATTCCATATTTCTTGCGCCTAGAAACTACCAATCCTCACTCCAGCAGAAATCTGGTGTTTCTCATGTAAGTCATGTTTCCTGTTTCTAAATGCTCCGCCTGGCTGAGTGATTATCCAACCTTATAATTATACAGTCAGTGATGAGATATTGCTCAAGGGCAATAGGGTGTTATTAGACGAAATCCTCGCAAGAGTAATTCCACGCCATAGCTCCCGAGTTCATCAAGTCGCGATGGGGGAATATGCTAGCAAGAATACTCAGACTGTTGGATAAAACAGCATGACTCGGAGATCTTCGCTCAATATAGACCTACCCAGCTATATTATACGAGATCTTCTTATCTCGTTAGTTAGGGTTTTCATCAAGGCATTTCCCCACGGGGAAAAAGGCTCTCGCAGACTCGTAGTTTACCGAGTCCACCGGTTCACAGGATGTTACTTGCCTGAATTAAGGTTCGCCGATAGCGACAACAAATACCTTCCAATCAAATCTTTATCTCCTTCCGCGTTCTAAATTTCACTCTCTGGAACCGCTAAGTCACGATGATGTTCCTTTGTTCCCGCAAACGCTTGCCCATGGGGCACTGCTCCGAATGCGAGAAGCTGTGTTACCCATCTTTTCCTCCCGCATCCTCGGCGTTTCTAGTATATTATGGTTAGAAACCTGGATGACTGGACTGCTTTTTTGACGCGCATCGCGAAGGCACAGTTCATCATGATTTCCCATTCCTTTCGTTATAGTATCAAGAAGTCAAGAACGCGAGATCTTTGGAGCAATGGCAACCGAGTCTGATTATATCGGATCTCTGGTCGTTTTTCTTTTCTGTCAACTCCAAAGCGGCTGCATCCAATATCGAACCTACCATATAAGGCACAAATTTGTGAATGCAGAAGAGTACTTACTGTGGCAACATGCAGAGAATTTGTGGTAGTTTCTATCACAATTAATAGCAATTTTCTCCTATCTACAAGCATTCTTAGCCCCCAGGAGGGTCTGGAAGATGATTTTTGCGTGTTCCCTTCCCCCATTGTCAAGCATTGTCGCTCCAAAATCACTTGGTCGATGTTAGAACGACAGAAGCTCGGTTCGACTTTTGTTTTCCATAGGATGCTATCAAGAAGAAGACGCAGTTGAACGTTAATGAGCGTGGTGATAATGTGCCAATTCTCTCTCCCATTTTAGACTGGGTTTTAGTCCCTGGCCTCCCGAGCATCGAAGCTACGCGTAGTGTTCCCGCTATCCAAGGCCCTGACTCAGGAATCATTGGAGAGCAGAACCGTGAATCCATCCGCGGAAGCCGGGAGCCTGTCAATTTATATATCTGACGTTTGAATTGCCGGGTAGCTGCCTGGTTGGGCAGGAGAGCAAGTGCCTACTCCGAGCGAAGCTGGAGTTACAAATTGAGTAGATAAACATGGACCAAAGAGCGATACAATTGGCTGGGATCAAAAGACTTTAGGCGGCTGAAGTTCAACCGGGCGCGCGTTGGGCGTAAATTATTGCGATAAATATACCATTATGCCATAATGGTGCTTGTTTCTGGCGTCTGGTTTGACTCAGCCCATCCTCTAAATTGTGCTAATGCCAATTCCAAAAAACGAGTTGTCTAATACCCTACAACTAAATATTCGATGACGCATATTATAGAACGTCCTATACAAAGCTCCTAATGGAAGTTTCAATAGAACTTGCTCAACTTCTATTACAAACCGATACATGTGAATGAAGATATTTTGGGCCTTTGGTTTTGGTAACATAAGCGCTGGGAAGATTACTGTAGGCGAAATTGGTAGACGAAAGAATTTCACTGGCTTATCCAAACTTAAGCATGTAAGAACTGGAAAACTTCAAATGAGGGCAACTGGTTTATTTGGTTTGTCAAATAGGATAGCAGATCATTATTTTGGGATCGGTGTTGGAGGAGGAGTAGGCTGGAAGATTAAGAAGCCTAATTGCCACTAGTAGGTGAAGAAGTAGCGGGTTTGGGTTAATGTTTAACAGAGGAGTTATCGCTATATTGAGAGATAGAAATCTTCGAGAACTAGTCTATGTCAAATCAATCTTGTAGCAAGCATGATGGAGTTTAAGAACGAGACCTCTACTATCTGCGTTCCCAGGCATATCAGAAGTGACACTTCTTCTGCTTCTAGACAAAGCTGCTTGACCACCTTAAAGCGTGACAAGCAGGGGACTGCGCAGTTTTAAGAAAGGAGTTCACAAAAAGGCCAAAAATGCAGGCCCACACCAATCTTGTCATATCCTAAACCAAGGAAACTTTGTTTCCTGAGAAAGGGAAGTTGATGCAAATGGTAAGGGCTTGACAGCTCTTTCCACCAGGTCCGCTTAGAAGAGGTATTCTGGTTTGTGGCGGTGAGTTTTTTCGGAAGCAGTACTGGGCGGATTTGGCCGCTTCCATTATCTTCATTTTCAAACTCTATCATGCCAAAGGTCGCCTGTGGGTTGAGAAACGGGCTATTAGAGTGTTGATATAACAGAAGATAAAGAGTAGAGATATCGAGTGCTCCGTAAAATGGGTAGAATCAAGAGTGCATTCAGAGATTTAGAGCACTGGTTAGGAGTCCTGAGTACTAGAAGGTATGTCTATAATCTAAAAACACGTTATATATCTTGGCTATCAATTAGAGTCGAGGGCCTCAAGTTTGAGATGGATCCTTTGGGCATTGATACGTAGGAACAATAATGACGGGCTACTCAAGAGTGTATCAAGTTCAGAAATCGTTGCATATATAGTTGTGACTCTGGAATTTGGATTTTGGGGAGGGTAAATGGAAGCAGCCCAAAGTGTGACCTAAAGAGGAGGTTTTACCAGATCACATAACGCTGCCGTTATCTATGGTAAAGCTTAGGGTTACATAAGCAGACAGTCGATCGTACCAGAGCAGAGTGGCTTTTCCTGACGGCATGAGGAAATTTATTGATCTGGGCGATGACACGACCCCCCAAAAGCGTCTCTACAATCTCATCATTATCTGTGGATTCCGAATCTACGAGTTTAGAGCAAACACTGGTGATCTGTTGAGTAGCGATGATTCTGACCCCAGGTTTTAAGATGCGAGATTCATGCGTACTGTAGCACTACGAGTACTGAGCCAAACAACCTTGTGACTGAGTGCGACAAGTTCTCGGGCAACTGATTCAACAGGTGTAACATGGCCAATTGCATATGATGCATATATCAGAAAACGAAAAGTCTTGCGATAAGATCGTGGCGACTCAGCTCCAGTGGCCCGAGGTTCCATATTGTGGGAGGTTTGTTCTGAAGGGTGGTGGCTGGAAATTTGTGTTTCAGGCGTTTTTGTTTTTCGGAAAGAGTGACAAGATACAATGCTTTGGTCATTTTAAAAAACATCTATAGCAGCCAGTATATCAGATATGTAACGCAGGCTTCTTTCTATGCTTGTACAAGATAAGTGACTAGCCGAATCAGAATAAGCAAGCACCCCCCACCATTTGTACTATTACCTTTTTCGTTGACGTCGGTTTCCTTGCTCGGCCAACCCCTGATTTAAGCGAAAATAAAACGAGAAACTTACAGGCCGCAGGATGGGAGAAACGTGATAGCTTTCGTTCTCTCTGGTTTTTGAGACTCATGTGGTGTGTCTATTTTATGTTCCATACTGGAAGAAGAACTAGAAAAACAACGGCAAATAGCACATATAGAGATACATTTGCATATATGTAGATTGGACTTCTGAAGATATTCTGGGGTACTTGTGTCATGCTATAGCTAATATCTGGATAAACAAGAACAATAAACCTGGAACATCTACTGCTAAGTGGACTCTTGCTCTACTCACGAGTGCACGATTTTCGGGTTTTCCTGTGGTCTGGAAGGTGGAGTTTCCCTGTCCCAACTAAGCTGAACGCTCGGCACCCACGTGCACCATTTATAATTTAATTTATCGTCCATTCGTCACACGTCAGATGAGAGGCTTATTGCTAGTTTTTATTTTATATTTTACTAGCTAGCTTTAAACGCTTATACTTTAACTATATATAAACTAATCAGAAGGCTCTATTTTATAGGATAATTAAAAGATAAGCGCTCTCGGCCTCGCGTCCTTAAAAAGAAGTAGTAAAACTATCTAGGAATAGGTATATAGCCTATCTATAAGTATAACACTTAGTAGCAAAATAGGTATATAGCTAAATAACCTAAAACCTAATCTAAAGTATAGTAAGTAATTTGTAAGAGGTAAGTAGGTAGGAAAAAGAGCTGGAATAATATAACTAATAATAATATTATAGTATTAATAATTAAAGAGCTATTATATAAGAATGAATATAATATATTTTCTATACTTTCTTATATACTATAAACCTTTACTATTTATTCTTTATTTATTATACGTTAAAAAAGAGGCTTATTATTAGTTTTTATTTTATATTTTACTAGCTAGCTTTAAACGCTTATACTTTAACTATATATAGACTAATTAAAAGGCTCTATTT